TGGGCCTGGGCCTAGGCCTGGGCCTGGGCCTGGGCCTGGGCCTGGGCCTGGGCCTGGGCCTGGGCCCTGGGCCTAGGCCTGGGCCTAGGCCTGGGCCTACCTGGGCCTGGGCCTGGGCCTGGGCCCTGGGCCCTGGGCCCTGGGGCCTGGGCCTGGGCCCTGGCCCTGGGCCTGGGCCTGGGCCTAGGCCTGGGCCTGGGCCTGGGCCTGGGCCTGGGCCTGGGCCTAGGCCTGGGCCTGGGCCTGGGCCTGGGCCCTGGGCCTGGGCCTAGGCCTGGGCCTGCCTAGGCCTAGGCCTAGGCCTAGGCCTGGGCCTGGCCTGGGCCTGGGCCTGGGCCTAGGCCTGGGCCTAGGCCCTGGGCCCTAGGCCTAGGCCTAGGCCCTGGGCCTGGGCCTGGGCCTGGCCTGCCTGGGCCTGGGCCTGGGCCCTGGGCCCTGGGCCTGGGCCTGGGCCTGGGCCTGAGGCCTGGCCTGGGCCCTGGGCCTGGGCCTGGGCCTGGGCCTGGCCTGGGCCTAGGCCTGGCCTAGGCCTGGGCCTAGGCCTGGGCCTGGGCCTGGGCCTAGGCCTAGGCCTGGGCCTAGGCCCGGCCTGGGCCTGGGCCCTGGGCCTAGGCCTAGGCCTGGGCCTAGGCCTGGCCTGGGCCTGGGCCTGGCCACTGGGCCTAGGCCTGGCCTGGGCCTGGCCCTGGGCCTAGGCCACTGGCCTAGGCCTAGGCCCTAGGCCTGGGCCTGGCCTGGGCCTGAGGCCTGGGCCTACCTGGGCCTGGCCTGGCCCCACTGAGGCCTGGCCTGGGCCTGGGCCCTGGGCCTGGCCTGGGCCTAGGCCTGGCCTAGGCCTGGGCCTAGGCCTAGGCCTAGGCCTAGGCCCTAGGCCTGGGCCTAGGCCTGGGCCCTAGGCCTGGGGCCTAGGCCTGGGCCTAGGCCTGGGCCTAGGCCTAGGCCTGGGCCTGGGCCTAGGCCTGGGCCTGGGCCTGGGCCTAGGCCTGGGCCTAGGCCTGGGCCTGGGCCTGGGCCCTAGGCCTAGGCCTGGGCCTGGGCCTGGGCCACTGGGCCTGGGCCTGGGCCTGGGCCTAGGCCTAGGCCCTGGGCCTGGGCCTGGGCCCTGGGCCACTGGGCCTGGGCCTAGGCCTAGGCCTGGGCCTGGGCCTAGGCCTGGGCCTGGGCCTGGGCCTGGGCCTGGGCCCTGGGCCTGGGCCTGGGCCCTGGGCCTGGGCCTGGGCCTAGGCCTAGGCCTAGGCCTGGGCCTGGGCCTGGGCCTGGGCCTGGCTGGCCTGGGCCCTAGGCCTGGCCTGGGCCTAGGCCTGGGCCCTAGGCCTAGGCCTGGGCCTGGCCTGGGCCTGGGCCTGGGCCTGGGCCCTGGGCCTGGGCCTGGGCCTGGGCCTGGGCCTGGCCTGGGCCTGGGCCTGGGCCTGGGCCTGGGCCCTGGGCCTGGGCCCTGGGCCCTGGGCCTGGGCCCTGGGCCTAGGCCTGGGCCCTGGGCCCTGGGCCTAGGCCTAGGCCTAGGCCTAGGCCTGGCCCTGGCCCTGGGCCTAGGCCTAGGCCTGGGCCCTGGGCCTGGGCCTGGGCCTGGGCCTGGCCTGGCCTGGGCCCTGGCCTGGGCCCTGGCCCTGGGCCTGGGCCTAGGCCTAGGCCTAGGCCTAGGCCTAGGCCCTAGGCCTGCCTGAGGCCTGGCCTGGGCCCTGGGCCCTGGGCCTGGGCCCTGGGCCCTGGCCCTGCCTGGGCCTGGGCCTAGGCCTAGGCCTAGGCCTAGGCCTGGGCCTGGGCCTGGCCTAGGCCTGGGCCTGGGCCTGGGCCTGGGCCCTAGGCCTGGGCCTGGGCCTGGGCCTAGGCCCTGGGCCTAGGCCTGGGCCTGGCCTGGGCCTGGGCCTGGGCCTGGGCCTGGCCTGGGCCTGGGCCCTGGGGCCTGGGCCTGGGCCTGGGCCTGGGCCTGGGCCCTAGGCCCTAGGCCTAAGGCCCTGAGGCCTGGGCCTGGGCCTAGGCCTGGGCCTGGGCCTGGGCCCTGGGCCTGGGCCTGGGCCTAGGCCTAGGCCTGGGCCTGGGCCTAGGCCTAGGCCTGGGCCCTGGGCCTGGGCCTGGGCCTAGGCCTGGGCCTGGGCCTGGGCCTGGGCCTGGGCCTGGGCCTGGGCCTGGGCCTGGGCCTGGGCCCTGGGCCTGGGCCCTGGGCCCTGGGCCTGGCCTGGGCCTAGGCCTAGGCCTGGGCCTGGGCCTAGGCCTGGGCCTGGGCCTAGGCCTGGGCCCTGGGCCTGGGCCTGGGCCTGGGCCTGGGCCTGGGCCTGGGCCTGGGCCTGGGCCTGGCCCTGGGCCTGGGCCTGGGCCTGGGCCACTGGGCCTGGGCCTAGGCCTAGGCCTGGGCCCTGGGCCTGGGCCTGGGCCTGGGCCCTGGGCCCTGGGCCTGGGCCTGGGCCTGGGCCTAGGCCTGGGCCTAGGCCTGGGCCTGAGCCCTGGGCCCTGGGCCCTGGGCCCTGGGCCTGGCCCTGGGCCTGGGCCTGGCCTGGGCCCTGGCCCTGGGCCTGGGGCCTGGGCCTGGGCCTAGGCCTGGGCCTGGGCCTGGCCTGGGCCTGGGCCTGGGCCCTGGGCCTGGGCCTGGGCCTGGGCCTGGGCCTGGGCCTGGGCCCTGGGCCTGGGCCCTGGGCCCTGGGCCTGGCCTGGGCCTGGGCCTGGGCCTAGGCCTGGGCCTGGGCCTGGGCCTGGGCCTGGGCCCTGGGCCTGGCCTGGGCCTAGGCCCTGGGCCTGGCCTGGGCCTGGGCCTGGGCCTGGGCCTGGGCCTAGGCCTAGGCCTGGGCCTGGGCCTGGGCCTAGGCCCTGGGCCTAGGCCTGGGCCCTGGGCCCTGGCCTGGGCCTGGGCCCTGGCCTAGGCCTGGCCTGAGGCCTGGGCCTGGGCCTAGGCCCTGGGCCTAGGCCTCCCTAAGCCCTAAGCCCTAAAACCCTAAGCCCTAAAACCCTAAGCCCTAAGCCCTAAGCCCTAAGCCCTAAGCCCTAAGCCCTAAGCCCTAAACCCTAAACCCTAAACCCTAAAACCCTAAAACCCTAAAACCCTAAACCCTAAGCCCTAAACCCTCCTAAACCCTAAGCCCTAAACCCTCCTAAGCCCTAAGCCCTAAGCCCTAAGCCCTAAGCCCTAAAGCCTTAAGCCCTAAGCCCTAAACCCTTAAACCCAAAACCCCAACCCCCAAACCCCAAACCCTAACCCCTAAACCCCAAACACTAAACCCTAAACCCTAAAACCCCAAAATCCCAAGCTCCAAGCCCCAAGCCTCAAGCCTCAAGCCCCTAAACCCCAAGCCCCTAAACCCTAAAACCCCAAACCCAAACTTCAAACCCCAAACTCTAAATCCCAAACAAGGTCGCCGCCCTCAAATTAGCTAGATATGGATATTTCACAATGAATAACTATAGGATGACACGTTGCCTTTTCTGCTGGACACTCTTTTACTTTATTTCAAAGTCTCCTGGATTTTTAGGGGATGCTAGAGATAATTAGGGATTGCTCGGAAATAATTTCATATGTTAGAGATGTTTTGATAATTATGTTGATGCAATGTATGTATCAAATTGCACGTATGTTTCCCGTTGATTGTACATATGTTAATTTATTTTTGTTACCTGAGATAGTCATCTCCTAAAGCCCATGAATAGGATGATTTACTTTTCTTCAACATATATCGAAATATACATAAATTCCATACTTTCTCTTCCATATTGTTATTCTTAACTGATAAAATTTCCATTATCAGGAAAATAAAAGTTGTAAGGGGAAAAAACCCCAGCAATTAACCGCTCCTTTTGGCCAAAAAGGACAAGTTGGCGGGCATAGGATGACCAATGATGACCCAACGTCACATCAACATTTGGCCAAAAAGACTACATTGATTTTGAAAAATTTATCCAAAAAGTCATAAATCTATTGCATTTTGGCCAATTCAGTCCTAAACCTCTTGATAATTTGCCAATCGAATTGGCTAGAAATTGCCGACGTGGACTCCAATCATCCTACACGGCACCGCCATCACTAATGTGAACAACTTTTTTTGTAATTTTTAAAAAAAATTGAATTTTTTATTTTCATTTTCAAATTTTTTTTCTGTTTTCCATTTTTTTTTTTTGGTGTTGGCGACCCTCGCCGGTCAAAAAGGCCTTGCCCAAACTACATGAGGGCCACCTCGGCCGCTACTGGCGGTGCTGCGATGGCCCTGGGAGGCCATCACAGCTCTATTGAGGGAAGGGGTTTGATTTCTTCTTTGTGAAACATTACGATATTTGACCGGCTTGGGAATTTTATTTTTTTTTTGGTGTTTTGCTTTTGGAGATATCATTGGGGATGACGATATGTTTCTGATATGGGTGTTGTCTATTAGAGTTTCAAGGATCATTCAGTGTTAAGAATTCATTAAGAGCTTGGGGTAAGATTGGGGGTTATTCAAGGTTCATTTATAATTTTTTAGAGGCTATTCCAGGTTTCGGGGTCATTTCAACATCACGGATTAGGGGTGGGCTAGTTGGATTTTAGGGTTTGCCGTTATAGTATTGGTTTTTGCAATTTAGATGTCTTTCGAGGCTTTGTTGAGTGTTGAATAGTTGTTTTATTTTATGTTCCTGGATTATTTTGCATTTAGGGGTTATATGAGGTGAATTTCTATTTCGGAGTAGTTTTGGTGTAGAGTATTTATTAATGGTTCGGGTAATAATGGTAGTTATTTACACCTCCTTTTCAGTTAATTTAGGAGCTATTTCTTGTTAGGGGTTATTTCAAATTAGGGGTTCTTCATTGGTTTTTCACGGTTTAGATGTTTTTATGGACTGTCATTTAAAATGTTTGGGCTATCTAATAGCGCTTCTTGTCGTCGAGATCACATATACTATTTAAGAATGTTTGGGTTATCTAATAGCATTTTCAATGTATCTTTTTATGGAAGTTATATTTAGGACTGGGGATGAAAAAAAGTTATGACTTCCCGCAAAAGAGTGACAGTGGTTACTCGTGCTTATTTTCTAGCAACAAATTTCTGTAATGATCTTATCTTTCATCCAAAATCTCATTATCAAGTGTGAAGGGTCCAACCCCCACGATTACATGACAATGTTAATTGATTGACGAGGTTGTTGCCAAATTACACTTTCACAACATTTATGGGCTACAAAGAACTGCAAAATATATGGATACCACTTCTGTCACTCAACTTTCGTCAGTCATACCACGAGGCAAGGTAATGCACCAAGCATGAACCAAGATTCTCCACGACGTCCGCATGACATATGGATGGAAGTTTCATTCTGAACTCATGAGGTGATCTTATGGATACCAATATTCAAGTCCGAAGAGATGGATATAAGAAGAGGAAGATAGTGGTGCCAGACAGCGGTAAAGACGCGTTTTTGGTGAGCTTTAATAGACTGCGAAGGCCTGCATCCATTGTACCTGATATCAAAGACATGTATGATGGGATCAGCCGAGCCAGATGTTATGAGAAAGCCATCAGGAGACCAAGCTTGATTAATTAAAGCAGATTGTGTTTCGCTGCTCTCTTGCTTCCATCCAAATGCATGCAGCTCAGTCTGCCTCAATCTCACGTCAAACAGCCGCAGCTGCGTCCCAGGAGCCCTGTGGACAAGTAATGAGATGTGAAACTCTTTCAGCTAGTACCAGACAATCCATGTGGACTAATAGAGGCATAATATTTCCTACCCGGTTTGAACCATAAACAAATTGAAGTCACATGGGTTTGGCAGGACGCTCATGCACTTGCTTTCAATTTGATGCCTAAATTGCAGCCTCCCAGTTTGCACATCAAACCCAATAATTTTCTTGTCAGCCCCAGCCGACAGTACAACCTGCTTTTGCTGCATTCCAGCAACCCCCATTACAGCAGAGGAATGCAGATTCCTATGTAATGCCTTTGGTTTCCACTTGTTATCGTCATCATCGCCATCCTCATTCCAGAGTATGACAGCATGATCGCAGCCACCAGTGACAAAGCAATTATCTACCCAAGGCATAAAGCGAATGCTATTGATAACTCCCTTCTGGTGTGGCTTAGCTTCCATGAAAGATACGCGAGCTCTCTGAACACATGCATAGTCAAATTAGTGACATCAACTATTGATCTGACTTTGGTAATATATATATATATATATACAAGTAGTTAGGGTGCTATAGGTAGGCTCAAATCATTCTCAGTTTTAGTTCAAATAATTTTATGAAGCCGACATTTAATTTCATGGCAATCCATACCCTTTGGCTAAGACAACACAAATCAACAAACAAATAACCAAATCAGGTTGTTTACTTGGTTTTGCTCACTCATTGCACATTGCGGCTTGTTGGATTCAAGTGGCACAAGTGCTTACACAACAAAAATTTTCACCTTTTAATAGGGATAGGTCTTTTGAACTATCTGCAGATTCTTGGGTAATGAGTGTCATCTTGAGACGAAAGGAGCAGAAGAAATGAAACTGATTATTTTCCTACTTCCAGTGGCTGTGTGTGCATAAGTGTGCACGCAATCACGCGCGTGTGTGAGAGAGAGAGAGAGAGAGAGAGAGAGAGAGAGAGAGTATGTTTGGACATCATTCAACCAGTAAACCAGTGATTCAGTCATCCTAGATACCAGTTTTGGCCTCTCACAAAGAGGAAATTGAACCCCTTCCCAAGAAAGCTGTGATATTTGATCTGCCTTTAGGCCAAAACTGTGAGCCTGATAGAATTGCTCAAATTCTTGAGTTTTCCCTTTTTGTCAAGTAACACGAGAGTCTGATAGAATTAGAAACCTCGGCATTGATCCCCAGACTCTTCTCTTAAGAACAGATATGCAATCCCCTCCTCCTATGAGTATATTGTCTTCAATGGTTTCACTTAATAGTTCCTATGTTACAATAGTAGCAGTACCTTCTATAGCCCATCCAGTTGTAACAAATAGCCCCGCTATATGTATAAGTGTAAGTATTACTCCTAGTTAGATTTATCCATCCTGTATCTGATAGCATTAGAAAGGGACGAGGCTCCTCAGGTAAATTTACAGCAGGCTAATTAACATGCCATGTGCTGAAGAGCGAGACCATGAATAAGTAAAGTTGGTCACCATCCTCAGGCACTTGAAACCCCCCCCCCCCCCCCCCCCCCTTCTCTCTCTCTCTCTCTCTCTCTCTCTCTCTCTCTCGCGTGCATCCATCCACACATCTATCTATCCTTCTATTTCCATATTCCGTATGCATATTACATTCCACAGATACATATATACGTGCAAACAGATAGCTACAACACATATATATGTATATATACATGCATAAGCAAACCTCAAATATGCTTCAAGCTTGGGCACAGATTTAATTTCTCTTAAAAACAAAAAAAAAACTGGTTCACCAGACCACAAACTTATATGATTTCGGCCCCTTCCAGGTGTACATGTCAGTATCCATTACAGGTACGGAATAGAATAAAGGAAAAGAGGATTGTGAAATTCTTTTATCTGACAAGATAGCTCTGTGTGAAAATTAGACCCAGTCACTTACCTCTTTTGTTCTATTGAGATTTAGGATTGAGATTTGAGAGTCCCCACCATCAGCAGTGTATGCACAAAATAGTCTGTTTCCCTGAGGATGCCAAGCTACATCTTCAGGCCATCTCCTCTCCCGTAGTGAAGCACAATCAGAAGTACTGAGCAGAGAGGCAGAATGTCTACAGTTCAAAAAAGTGAAAAGACAACTTATTAGAAGAGCAGATTATATGCAAACACAAGCCCAGGCTTGTTGTAAGCCCACATTCCATCAAATACATTATCTATATTTAGATTTTTAGCACATTTTACCCAGCACTTCCTCTTATGTAAAGAATCATATGTTAACAGTAGTTACAGTACTTCTTGGTGCTTGGCAAGCATTGGCAGCTCTGCTGGAACGCATTCTATTTTCCTACATTCTCCAAATGTTTGAGCTTAATCAAACGAAACTTGGAATATTTTGGGATGGCAACCATAGCAAGCTCAAATAGATAGAAGAAGGCTGGAATCTCCCTATACTGTAAGTATGAAAAATGTAGTAGGAGGGCAAAAGGAAATACAGGAGTGCATAACAAGTAAGTCAGTGAGAAGAGGTTCTGATCAGAAATTTATCTGAACCGATGGATCTATCTCCATACAGATGGGTAGATAAGCCATCCCATCTCCAGGAGGGATTTCAATAATCTTCCAGAAAGTGGTCAACAGATGGTATAGAGTCAAATTGAACTTTAAAAGATCGGCTATGCCATTATAGTAGGGTTGTCCAGGTGTTCAACTCATGACATGACAAAGCTGTCTCGGGTCATGGAAATCATTGCACATGATAGTTGACAGCATTTTGGGGTTCTGTAGAGAGAGAAACCTTAAAGCTTTTGAAGTGTGAATCAATCAGAGACAAACAGCATCTTGCTTGATCTACAGGATAAGCTACTTTCATCTAGATTGGGGAAAGGAGTAAGTGCTCTACTTGAACCTTGTCAAATGACTTTCAGTTGTCAAATTCCCAAGAAATCTAGAAACAATTGATATCTAAGTGATTATCAAAATATTTCTTCACACCACGTTTACCAGATCATACAATCAAAATCGTCATCGTATAAAATGACAGTCTCATCCTAGGAAGGAGGAGACAAGGATTCTATAGTTTACCCGTTAGCCTGAATTTGCCACAAGTTGACAACTCCATCCAAAGCACTGTACATAACAAACGAAACCTGATTAAAAACATTCCAAACAAACAAATTTGACATATAGACGCATTCATAGATTACAATATGAGAAAAGAAAAATGTTAAAATGCTAAGGAACAGACAATAAGTTGGCCAGAGCTGTCTCCACCGCTGCATCGAATATAACCCATCCCCGTCGGAGACACAATCCTCGAATTCATTAGTATAATACAATCAGCAAAGGCCGATCAACATAAAGACCGATGAGCCAACTTGATTTATCGGTATTACAACCACAAATAAGAGCTTTCGTATATTTACTAGTTCACTCCTAAAAAGCAAGCTTCCTTTGACGGTGAGAAAGGGGTGGGAGAAATTATTAGTTTATAACTGTCATCTTCAAACATTAAATTAATGCATGCAAAGAGTTTGGCATTGCTGTTTCAAAACTCAAACAACCCATCTCCATCTGTAAGATAGCTAATACATCAAACTATATTTTAGCTCTGACACCGAAAGTATTAAAACTCTGAAAGACGCTAATTACAAAGGTCTCGCGAAATGCATAATTGTCCCAAAATGAGTTTCTGTTTCTATCAATAAGAGCCACTAATCTTAATTCTTCCTGAATCCTTGCTGAAGCCCTCTTCTGCATTAAGATGAAACGTATTAATTGATCCAAGGTCCCCATAGTAAGATATTACATCAACAGGGGTTTCTAAGTTTAACTTAGAAATATGTGATTCATCCTAGCGTAACAAGAGGTGGCTTGAAACGACAGTTTTGCACGTTTTCTCCCTCCATCCTCCTCGGTTATGTCTTTTTTGTCGGATTGTTTTAACTGTTGTCATTTTACTAGCTCATGAGGTCTACTTTATTAAATCGGCTTCCAAACTTCGAATTCATTGCGTCCTCTGTGATGCTGCTCTGAGAAACTTAGTTACATGAGTGCCATGAACGCTTCATGAACACAGAATAAAATCGAGACTAAAGCATGCCCCTACAAAGAACGTTTTTTAGCAGAAAAGGGAGGTGGGCGAGGGCAGCTGAACAACTAAGCACACAGCCCTTATCCACGAAAAGGACAACGTAAAAAACCTGGTTGCAAAAAGCAGCTCCTGCGCTGGAGACAAGGCTAGACTCCTTAGCTTTCTCTTGTGTTGACTGGGAACCTGACTGCTTGTTTGGCACCGAATGGTGAATGGAGAGGATGCGCTGCGTATCAACGGGATCAGTTCTCTGTGTTCTTTATGTTCTGAAAAAGAAAAAAATAAGGAGAAAGAAAAAGGAAAAAGGCAGGCCTTTTAGTCTGAATGCAGTGGAAACGATATGACGAGCTGAAAAGGAAGCCTATACGGTAAGCATGTGAGCGTTACCAAAATTTCTTTTGGTGCCCCTATCTTGAATGGCCTCGGAATCACGGAGAGAAGGACGTCCGCGAGGTTTCTCCTCCTTAACAGTCCTGGCACTTGGGGATTGATGGAGGATCGAAGAAGTAGGAGGGGCACTGTAGCCAGCCGATGGCTTTGATCCAGAGCCTGAAAAGTAGGGGTGGTGGGGAGGCTGAGAGTCCTGGGGAATGGGGGCAGAAATGAATAGTTTTGGTTTTGGGGGCAGCGAATGCAAGAAAGGGTCCTCACTCGTACCGACGGGACTGGTCGATCGGCGCTCCGTCTTAACGTTTGCAGTCCCATTAGTAGTAGGAAGTCCGGCTTCAGAGGACGCCGCCGAGTGTTTGCTTCGCAGCAGAGCCAATTTACCTTTGGAACCATTGAGCCTCTTCTCTGCCAGTTGGAGCTGCGGAGAAGAACCAAGCACAACGAGACGGGAGTTGGACGGACCCAAAAGGGTTTCATGTTGCATCAATAAGCGATCCATCCTGTCACAGGCAAATGCAAAAAGAGAGAGAGAGAGAGAGAGACCTGGGAGGTGTAATAAGCGACGCGATGACGGAGGTGATCGACTTCCTTGTAGCGATGCTCAATCAGAGCCACTAATATGGACTCTTCCTCGTCCTCCTCCTCCTCCTCGTCGGCGTCGCCGTCGTCGTCCCTCTTCTCAGTTGGTTTGAGCTTCTTCCTCGAAGACGAAGATGGCGGCGAATGCATTTCCTCCTTCCTGGGCCCAAAAAGGAGAGGGAGAGAGAGACAGAGAGACAGAGAATCGGGAATATCAGAAGGCGATCCCGCCAGCGCAAAAAGCAAGACGGGGGTGGGGCGGCTCTCTCCTCCTCCTGAGCTGACAACGTGCTTGGGTTTGGGTCTTACACATCGGCATTTTCATATAGAAGTGAAAAGGGAAAATGTCAAAATGAGATGAATGCTGTCTGAATTTTGACTGAATTTTTATTTCGTTCGATAGAGGCTCTGAACTTTAATACAATATACAATATTATTTTTAAATTTTCAAATGATTAAAGATATTTCTTGAAATTTTTGTACATGTTCAATTTAATTCATAAATTACATGAAAATGTTCAATGTTATCCCTGAACTTGAATTAATAAAATGACGATATTCAGCATTTTCATATAATTCAGGGGCTAAATGGAACATGTATCAAAAGTTCAAGAATTACATTGAACAAATTAAAAGTTCATGAACCACATTATACATTAAGTTAAAGTTCGGGGATCGCATTGAACAAATTAAAAGTTTAGAGAATATATTGCACATAGGATCAAAGTTCATGGACCATTTATATTATTATCCAAAGAGGGATTTTTGCAATTAGTATTCGTCATTTAAAAGTGTCTTTCTTTCATATACTTAATATCTTATATTGTTTGTATATTCCTATATATTTAAGTCAAAATACTCAATCGTCTCTCCCTTTCTGCTTCCCAAAATTATCCTTCCTCTCTTCGCTCCTACCCAATCATTTATTCTATAATCCCCCACTTTCTTTTCTATTCTCACTTTAAATTTCCAAAACTACCCTTATGTTTTTTTTTATCTTATACCCACCTATTATACTAAGTAACCTATTCATTGTCTTTCTATGCATAATTACTTGGATTTGCGCATGGGCTTTACGTATTTTAGCCATAGGATATATAAATAGGACGGTTTTGTACAATAAATTGGGTTTGGCCCTTAGTGAGGTACAATTAATAAGTTATCAGTAATTGTTATTATAAAATCACTCCTAATTAATGAGGCATATTGGCGATGATTAGCATTGGCCAGTGGGCCGTGCCGGGCCTGAGCCCATTTGACGAGGGGGCCATGCTTCAGCCTAGGTCCCCGTTCAGCCACATCTTTCATTTGTTTCGTGAAAAATATAAAAAATATTTTTCTTAAATAAAATGAATAAAAAATATTTTCATTTTTCACGAAAATACTCTAATATAAATTGCTGCCAAAGTGAAAACACTTTTCATAAACTAATTATATCTAGCGGTCATTTATAGAAAAATATTTTCTAACTCATGAAGGCTAAAGGAAAATTGACCTCCATAATCCAACTCCTCCTTTCGTTTTCAACTTTTTTTTGCATTACTATAGTTTTAGCCTGTTTGATTTCCAATCGTGTGTTCCAGTTACACCGTTACCACCTTCAATTAACAAGTTTATTCATGGCAACACAGGTAAGACTACTCGTTTTAGCTTTGTTCCCTTTTTCTTCCATCTCTTCATACCCAACATTTCAATTTCTCTCTTCCTGCTTTGATTTCTCCTATCCCTTCTATTTGCGCGGTTGGGAGTAAAAATTCATGGATCCTGTTGAGACGAGCCTTTGTTACATTCATATACCACACGAGTGAAAGCTCTATTATCACGCAATACTTCAAATAACATTCTAAATCGGTCTTTGTAACAATGCATGCACTTTGCTTTTATATAGAAACAACACATGCGTTTTGATTTTTTAGATTTCGCAGAAAATAATTAATCAGACAAGTTCATTACATAAAGACCCATCAAAATAAGATCACCTATAATGCTTGAGCATAATAGTGACCTTCCCTTCACCTTCCATCTCTCTCGTCCCTTGTGTCACTGTCAGTTCTTCACCTTCACATGAATTAGCAAAATACACTTAGTGATCATAGAGGAGGGCACAGATACAAGTTCCGACCTGTCATGTGCTAAACATAGGTGTGCAGCTCCCACAGCAGGTGAAGGAAGCAAGTGATGAGAATGCGACTGTGATGCGCTAGATAAAAGAATGAGCCTCCTGATAACACGAACAGAAATCTAGAGAATGTCACGTCGTGGCAGCAACTACCCCTTACTCTTCCAAAAGGAAACCTCACATGGCCCAAAACCAATCACTCAAATCCAACTTCTTTTTATGTACAATCCTCGAAAACTTAATAGCTCGGTTTCATTTCTCTACTCCGCATGTACGTTAAAAATTGTGTGGGTAGTTCTGCTAGGAGTTCTTGAACCACAGATATCTCTCCACCTGCATGGGTCGAGAGAAAATGAATAACTAACCAAATAACTTGTATTTAGGTTCATACTCGAACCAATCACTCACTTTGTACATCTCGAAAGGGAACAAATTGGACGATGTCACGGGTAGCAACACGTCCATTGGAACTCTCTAGCCTTTCTCCTTTATCCGCATCTAAAACCTGCCACCAGAATAGGTCTTAGACGAACTCTAGTAAAGGAACAACATAAGCAGAAAAGGTCCACCTAATATAATTACCTCCATTTCCTTAAAATCAGCTCCACCAACCCCAACAATGAGGATTGACAATGGCAAGTCAGATGCTTTCACCAAGGCATCTTTGGTTTCTTGAAGATCCGTCACGACACCATCCTAATAAGTAGGCCAAAGTAAATGCAACATCAAGGTGTTTCCATGAACTGCAAATAACAGTGACTCATAAAAGAAATTTCGCTCTACCCTACAAGAATGGAACCTAGGAGACTACAGAAGAGAAAAAACCAAATTCTCAGAGAGAGAGGTTGTTACCATGAAAAATGAGGGGCATATCATTTAGTAACTCAAGTTCATAATGCACCAAGTCAAATGACCAATAGTGAAAATTACCCCAAGTTTTGAAGTCTAAATGGTCGAATGCTTGCCTAACAGCAAAGTAGCCCTTAAAATTACTCCTCTGGTGCTATCCACTATTCCCCGTAGTGATACCCTTACTGCAATAACCAATACTTTCCTGCTATCCCACAGCCGGAGCACGAATCTCTTCCACTGAAGAGGACAAGCCCCCAGAGGCAGTCATATCAAGCCCCATCCATTTATTGCCCAACGTCATGTCTCTTTAAATTTCATTCTTTTTTTCTATTCTAAGAATTTACAATATTTTAATAACATCATTTCTTCGAATTGGCTAACTGAACAGCCAAAACTGGGAATCACCTCACAAGTGGTTCAGTTCCTGGCCAATTTTAAAACATTCTTGGCAGTTGTTGTCACATTACCGATGGACATGCTGCAACATTGATAGTCACTAGTACTTAAGAGCTGAGTACAGGCAGGAGTGCTGGTGATAATGAAGAGGCAGTGGCAGCGATTATAAAACTTATGCCTGTAGAACACTTGGTAATAGTCCTAAGACACTTTGTAATGTTTGTAAGTCATACCAGCTCAGAATACACTGCATTTGATACAATCATACTTTTTTAGTGCCACCAAAATGAAGAGTCAAGGACTAAAACATGTACCATGATCCTTTTAACCCTTTAAAGCACCAAAAGGCAAGGAAAATGTGGAAGAGGAGAAAGATCAACATCAAAAAGCATTAATGTTATAGTATATGCGACTTGTAGGCACAATCTATATAGACTATGAACATCAATCATAAAACACACAGTTTAGGGCATACCGTGATTATTAACAGCACGAAGTATCTATGCCGACCATTTGCAAGAGATTGGCCAGCAATTTGTGCCGCATTGCTGATGACAGGACCAAAAAGAGTTGGACCTGCAAGAGAAACATTTAGGAGTGCGCTTGTATAGGCCATCATGATCCCTTGAATTCCTTCAACCTGTAATACACCATAACTACAACCTCAACTGGAAATATGCATATTATAAGATACAGAAATAAAGATGAATAAATAGTATCTGGGAAACATTTTACCTCGCAGTATGTACTGCTTCCGTTCAAGTTAAAACAATGAGAGACTGGACCATCAATTGGCCGGGCTCCAAAACCCCAAGCAGGAAATCGCTTGTCTGAATCGTAAAACTGCAATACTTCTCCAACCTCTAAGATTGCCTGTCAGTGTCAACCAAACGTGTGTCAATTTACAGTCCCTGTAATGCGCATGCCATTAATCTCCTTCAGTGTGCAAATTAGTACCTCAAGTTCCAAGAAACAGAATATTTATGTAACGTCCTGTGTTCTCTCTCATGAAGGTTCAAACAGAACTTTTGGTGCCGTGGGGAATATTATTAACGTAATTATGATGAATATATTCAGAAGACGAAATTGAAGAGAAGCATCTCTTACTCTCTGATATGCATTTGGACGTCCTGAGGGATCAATATAATGCAGGGAATCAGGGAGGCGAGGATTTCCATTTGAAGCTGATGGAAAAGGAACCAGAGTAACAATTGAAGTAAGTACCGGTGCCTGTCTAATTTAAAGTTCAGTCTCGGTACATATATGGCATAGAGCAATTGCAAAAGGATTTTCACTTTGAACTAATAAAAACCACCAAATCCATGAGCCAAAATAAGTTCAGACATAATGCTAATGTATGTCCACGTATAGTAGGATTTTCAGTTTGAACTAACAAGTTTGGCATAGAGCAATTGCAAAAGGATTTTCACTTTGAACTAATAAAAACCACCAAATCCATGAGCCAAATAAGTTTGGACATAACGCTAATGTATGTTCATGTATAGTAGGTTGCTTGTAGATGCATGACAATCATGTCGGCAAGTTAACTAATTCCACATGCCAACATCTTGAGGAAACTCTGAAAAGATAGTCCCCGGATTTACCTAAAAAATCCAAGAAACATGAAAATCTCTTCTTGGCTAAAAGCAAAAATGAGTCAACAGATTCAAGAAATTATTGAAGATTTAACAGTTTCGGCATAATTTAAGTATATACTTGGCTATTTTAGCAGAGAAAGATAAAGCACATCGGAACTATGCGTGCTTTTAATAAAAACCATAAACTGCAGTTTACTTCAGCCAACCGATAATTATGACCTTCAGAGAAAATGCAAGCATAAAAATCAAGGGGCATGGCAGCAGGTGAAAGACCAAAACTACATGATTGCTAGATCCAAGTAGAACAGCTAATATGCACAGGATGCCTGACCAAACCACACAACTGCATATTCTATTTCAAGCACACAAGCTGAAGTTACAAGTGAAGACGAATATACCTCCCCTCTATACCTACCACAACATTTACTAATCTAAAGCGAAAATTCCCCAATACAGGAACATATGGTGGAAGTGCAGACCATTACCTGTGAAATCAACAGCCAACATGAAATTAATTTCAAATCCCCCAGCCAAGTAATCTAGAAAAGTATGTTGGGTACTCTCAGAAAACGTATCCACAAATAGCTGGCTCTTCAGGACCTTATTTCCGGTTGGTAAAACTAAATTTTCTCCCTTCACACTAGAATGAAGCTTTTCCAAGTCCAATAGTGACTTCTCCAGTCTCCTAATACAGTGACATACAACAAGCATTGTCAACATAGTCATATACAACAATGAGGAGATACAAGAATCAAATGTCAGCAAGTATTCCATTTACCCAATCAAATCGTGTTTTCCACTGCTATTAAAGTTGAAGCATTCTATTACCAAGGGACTGTCCTGCACAACAATTTAGTTATCAACATATGGATGCGGACACCTGGTATTCTTCAAAGGAAACATACATAGCTGAAACATGGATTCAGCATCTCATTCACTGCTAAAGAACAAAAGGAAATGGAAATTGCACCAGAAGCAAGCTGTCTTCTACTGCAGAGTGAGCAAATATTGACTAGGGAGTCAAAATCCTACTCTCTGATTAGAAAAATGCTTATACCTTGCTTCCAACTTGTTGGATATTTAAAAATACTGGCTTCCACGTAGGTTTGAGATCATTCCTGATGACCTCCGTCTTGCAGACTGGAATTGAAATTCCACTCTCCACAATTTTTGAAATGACCAGAAATGGATCCTACATTGTTGTAATCCAGAAGATGCAAAGAAAATTAGATTGTTGTTTCTCGGAGTATTGACAAGGGGGCATAAAACTGAAGCTTAGTTGCTACATACAGTCCTTGTGAAGAGATTCTTGTGCTCTAACTCTGAACACCTCAAAGTCATCTCAGTTGTAGTCTTAGAGCTAATGCATTCTTCAGCAAGCACAGCAAGCCTTCCACAATTTTGAGCACGACTTAATCCTGTATATTCTTCTCCATATGTCAGATCTAAGGTCAATGACCTGTTTGATTTGGTAATGATCTGAAAAACAAAATGATGGAGTCGAGTAAAGAGTTTCTATAAACAGCATTTGCAGAATCCAATCTCCTCTGAAAATAATTATTTTGGGCATTAACTGATGTTAGTATTTTTTTTTTCCAACTAGCAGATAAGAAAGCGAACACTGAATGCTCTCAGTGACATCATGTTTCAGGGAAGTGGTCAAAGAAAATCTAGTATAGAGAAGATCACAATTTCTTATTGCATGCCATACCTCAGAAAGAGCACAGGAGGCCTCACCAAGAAACTGCTGCTCCTCAAGCTTAAGCATCTGTGCGAGTCAAAAATGTTCTTGATATATAGTATTTGTATTCACTGGAAATAATTTCTCACTAAAGTATTCTTGCAAAACACTTCAGGTGCAGTAACATGAATATCTTATACATGAAGCTTAATAACTTGGGTGAGAAATCCATGATATGTTAGATACTCTCAAAGCATACACAGGAACAAACGGCTGCCTCATATACAGTCAGTCTTTAATATGTGAATGATCCATTTTACTCCATAGCTGCCTTCAAGAAATCTTCTGTTCACACCCCTTTATTTTTTGTCAACAACGTAACACATAACCATCGCTTGTCAAAGCATTTTACTCTCGTTAAAAAGTATCAGTACATAGATTAAATATAGATAAGATCAAGTAACATATAGGGTCTAATAATAAAATAGGTACATTTCGCTCCTAAACACATGATCTGAGCCAATATGTCAAGTACATAGAAAACTCAAGAAGATACACACGAGGCAGGAGGAAAAAAAACCAAGGGCACGTCGACCAAATACAAAATCATTTATAATATAAGAAGTCCAGTAGATCAATGATGCAATATACGTATGTTAAATAAAAGATCCTAAACATGAAGACTGGAAGTCAAATATCCTGTAAGTCCATAAGATACAAATAACATGTGGATTAGATATGGATCTTTATCTTGTTTTCTATTTCTTTGCAGAGAGGGCAGCAGACCAACTTGCAAACCCTCGGAGCCTCGTAAAGGAAATTTCTTTATTGTCGATTCATAAAAGATATGCACCATTTACCCATCCCAAAAAGAAAGTGCCCTTGGCAGTCCAAACATCCTTGAAAAATTACCTTTACTTCCATCTGGTGAAACTGAGTGTCCACATCATACAGATGAAACCTACAAAGGCATTGGTAAAGAATCTTAAAGTTGGAATATTGAATGATATTTAATTGATTAAACAGATGAGGATTCCATGAAGATGAAAAAGTAAATACTCACGACATTGTCTGCACAATTTCAAACTGGTAAGTGACATTAAGGGTATTGATCCACTTGGGATTCAATGAATTGAGCACGACCTCTGTCCGTCCCACCTCCTTAAGTGCTCCATCTCTTCCTCTTGTGTAGACAACCAACATAGGATCACTCTAAAGCGAGAAATAGAAAGAAAGGATAAAACTGATTAGACCATGCGACGCGTTTTTTATGAAAGTATCATACACAACACGAACATAAAATCCGACATAAGAAACTAAATCTAACAAACGAATTCTTGAAGTTGAGTGCCCAACAATCTCCTCTAAAAGCTAATTCTTGATCTTTTATAGAAGCTTAAATTACAGTAAACAGAAAGTTCAAGAAAGATTGCCAATTGATGCAGTTATTAGCTAGTAGGATGGACAAGTGTATTGACAGTGCGCTGAGGTAGACAACACTTGTTCCCAAATCGTATACTGCAAACACCGATTCCCTCACAGTTCCAGGGGAGCAATTCCTCCCGCCTGTGGGTTGTGTGCTGGAAAGAAAATAGATATTGCGGCACCAGAGACATGGGACGCATGCAGTTGAGGAAATGCACAACTCAAATGATGCAGTACGATCAACGGATCACAGCTGACATTCTGCAGAAGCTTGTGGGTTGAGAAAACAAACCTTAGAGAGGACGTCCCTATCTCGCAGGCCCGAGGCAGAGAAAGACAGCTGCAGAAACAGAGGTGTTGAAGTAAAGATGACAACGTAGAGTTAGAAAAAAAGGGGCCGCGTTTCGGATGGCGTGGAATATGGTACTGGGTTGTAAGAACTGGAGCCAAAATCAAGGTCGAAGGTGCAAGGTAGAATGCTTAAATTGGTGAAGAGGGACCCGGTAGACTCTTTTTGACTCGGAGGTTGGGATCTGATAGAGGCTGCCGCAGCATATGAAAAAGAAGAAGGAGAAATGGACAAAGAAAGCGGAGGAGACCTGGATCTGAGAGAAGAGGCCGTGGTAGCCGCGAGAACGGAGGAAGAGGTTAACGGCGTCGTTGGGGGCGTCGTTGCCGTTGCCGAGGCCAATAACAGCCGGAGTGCCGCCGATGGCCGCCCTGCCGCCGCGGTCGTCGGAGCAGCAATTCCCCATCCCCTCTCAGAACGCGGCAGACTGAGTAACAGTGTCTCCTCTCCTCCTTCACTTCAAAGAGAGAAGCACCACCAACGAAGCCGCCGCCACCCCAGAGAGAGAAAAGGGTATCAAACAAACAAACAAACAAACAAACAGGGAGCAGATGCGGGAGGCAGATGAATCGATCGCCAAGCTCTTTGCCTTTTCGCCAAAGAGCTGAAGGAGGAGAAATGGAGGAGAAGGAAGGGGCTGACTGGAGTCAGGGACGTTGGCCCCCACTTGGCTTTTGCCTGTCGTGCCTCGGCCTCAAAGCCGCGTTCCTTCCTTCCCTCCCTCACTTTTCTTTCCTTCTTCTTTTCTGTTTTTTCTTTGTTTTCGATCACGAATCACACGATCCCCTCAAATCAATTCCTCCATTCAATGGCCGAGCTGAGCTGAGCTGAGCTGTCTGTAAATTGTAAAATTCGTCATCCAAAAGGGGAAAGACAAGGCCGGATCGAAAATCGTTTTCGTTTGGCCTGCTTCGCTAGTCAACTGGAGACGTGCGAAATATGAAGGCGGCGTTGACTCTTCCTACCACACTTCCTTGATGTTCCTCGTCTTCGTTTCCTTTCTGCGAAAATGAACGGCGTGCGCCATAATGCAGATTCCTCCTGATGTCCCGTTTGAAAAAAAAATGACAACAATGTACGAAATACTGCTCCGTGTTGACGAGGTGCCGACTTTAGATCTCTTTCTTCGCGTGCGTGTGCTCACTACGAATGGAAAGTGATATCGTCCTTTGCCTAAGCCCGGCGGGAGTGCTTGTCAGTGCTTTTTGTTTGGATTTTCCGTAGGGTCTGATTAACATTCGTTGCTGTCTACTTGCTAAATATGTTTAAATGAATTTTCAAAATCTCGATATGTGTGACATTCGGAATTTTCCACATTTTATATTAATATTTAAAATGATTTTTCATAATCATTATCACTCGAAGTCCGATATGATAGGAGCTTGACGTGTACGTTGATGGTGTAGTGTGACGGTAAATTGTTAATTGTCGCCATATTAGTTGAAGAAAGGATTGATATGCTAGTAACCTTAAGGATTGGTGGAAAACTGTGTCTGATCAAGATCAAATGACGTTCTTACTCAAAACAGATTTTCATCATGTAATCTGTGTCATTTATCAGTTCTTTATTAGTAAACTAGAAAACCTTCTTGAACTCAAAATGAGAGAGTTTTTTCATAAAAGATGATGCTCTCTACGTTGAAAACACTTGAATAAGCATTTTCATGAAATGCTTAAATTGTTTTATGCCCTTGGAGCCGATCCGAATCTAAAGCAGGTATTTATATCCTCTATTCCAAAAGAAACTAGTCAAGTTGTAAAAAGATCCCTTCAGCATAAGCAACGAAAAAGAGCTTGATCAAGCTTAAATTGATGATTTACGCAAAGCGAGATGCATTTTCATTTTACTTTCAAAGAAATCTTGGCAGTGAGGTATGGCATCAGGAAGTTTGAATTTCATCTTCTTGGACATCATTTTCTAGTTGAACTAGATATGTCCTCTTTCTCCCAAATGCTGAAGTTCAAACTGAAGCAAATTCCTCATCCTCAACTCCTCAAATGGGCGGAATGGTTTTCAAAATATTTCTTTGAAACCAAGCATAAAGAAGAATGCACTTGCTAATTTCTTATCACGGCCAAAAGAATTTGTTGGACCAATTACATCCATAAATATGTATGTATCACGAAATCCATTTGGTGGATTCAAACCCATCAAGATAAAATCTTCTTGGCACAGCAGGCAATACCCGTCGGAAGTTTCTACATACATCCAAGACAATGCCCTTTTTGAAAATCTGCCGTCACTAATATGGAAATATCAACTGCTGATTTTTAGCAGGTACGGAGGATTAAGTCTTAGACCCGGTGGACTGTATCCAGATTATCCTTTCATCCATCCTATCTCTCTCAATCTTGAAGACGAGTTCCCAAAAGAATTCAAATAGTTTTATTAGTATCTGTTTAATCTTTATACTATAGCCATTGAATTTCCAATAACCAGAATTATTTTCATTATTGGTAGAATTCTCTCGGGAGAAAAGAAGTTTAAGCATTTGGATGATATGCTTAATTGGTTCAAACCATTGGGAGCTTAGAAATACATGTTTCAGGAGCAACCTAGAGCATGTCGACCCAATCCAGAATTGCATACAATAGTCCTGTTTCATAGGCTATGGTTTTTTATTCATCCAAATAGAGATGTGAGCAAAACTCTATATGATATAGGGGTAACTACATATAAGCCTCAGCCGATTCTAGAAAAATTCTTCAAAACCCTTCCATGCAAACTATCGGCACTTCCTCGGGAATATAGGGAGCTCCAGATACTTATATGCCAATACAACCAAGTGATACCACTAGAGGTATAGCCAATAAGTTCTACCAGTACACCTTAGGATAATCGAGCTGATCACAGGTATCAGACAGTGATTGACATTGCGTTGGGACAATATTATAGCATAGATATGCAAGCTGACAGGGATGCTGCTGCCTCATTCTCATCTCAAAAGGCCTCACCTTTATCCCAAGCCTCTCAGTCACAGGATCCATGAGAAGGACCATTATCGCAAGACCTGTATGATTACAGTGAGCTACAACTTGCACTCAGTCTAGGTTTTAACAAAAATAGTCCGTCACTATAATTAGAAAATTTTCTCCAGTCAGCTTTTCCATCATGTCCTGCTGATATCGCCACAAATTTTGCAGACGTGGGCCTAGAGATCTCAAAAGTGGAGAGAATCCTTAGAGAATACAGGAGACAAAAGGACAGAGGTAATTCAGATAGCTTTGATGACGATAATACCGAAGAACCGATTTATAACTATGACATCTGAAGACACACCAAGCGCAGTTGAAGAAAATGGCTCGTTGTTGGGAAGTACTGTAGCAATGTACTTGTTCATCACCGTAGCGATCCTTTGTTCACCACTGTTCGACAACGTAACAGATCTTTGTAGCAAGCACTATAAAAGATCTTGTAGCGAGCATTGTAGTAAGAAGAAAAACGTGCAAAAAAGAAGAAAAACTGTCGTCCAAGAGTTTATTATGAGTCTGTCAGATTATAAAAGCCTTTGTTGTCGCCTGTCTATTGTAAAATTCTTTGTTGTCGTCTGTCAGTTGCAAAAGCTTTTGTAGTCAGTCAGAGAGTGTCAAATTATTGGTGACTTCCAGAACTTCACCAATAATTAGCTGTTTGTCTACTTTTGTGCCTATATAAGGCAATGTTTGTAAAGTTTGGAGGAAAGATCTGCTCTCCAGAAAAGCCTTGAGAAATAAAACTTGTGTTATGAGTCCCTAAATCTTCGCCTCTACCGTACTGCCTTTTATAATTCTTTAAATAAATATATGTGTACTGATTAGTCTTGTAGTATGCTCTACACTTGCCATGATATAGAACATGTGCATCAAAATTATGCTACTATAAAGCAGTTCTAAGGTGCTAATCAAAATTCGAAGAGGGGCCTAGTGGTTAAAAGGCAGTCCCTTTTATAGCGTGGGATAGCATACTTACCACAAGCCCTGTCTTCGTTTTCCCTAATTGGCATCTTAGCACCCCTTTACTGGTATCAGAGCCAATGCCTTATTCAGCATACCTGTTTGTTTTTTAGATGAAGTACCAGGTGGAAAATGTAGACTTGTTCCATCATGTGTAATTCTACTGATTCCAGTCCACCAGTCACTGAAAATGCCCCTTTAGATCTTCGCACTTCAAATGTTTATAAAATTGACTATCTTTATGATGTTTTCATACCTTAATGAAGATAGTAAAATTTCGGAAACTCATCTTCCGCTTATTAATGCGTATTCTATTTTTGCAAAACCCCTCCTCCATTTCCCCTCTCCGTTCCATTAAACAGCTCATCAAACATACACCCCGAGAAGTTAAGGAATATGTCCAGTCATCCTGATTCGACCAACATCCTATTCCTGCTACCCAGCAAGAACATTTCGTTACCCTCAAGATACCTTTTGATTTTCCACGTCAGTGGGTACAGTAGGGGTATACTTATCTTCATTTTGGTGCTATCCATCTTGCACTATCCTTCCATGGTAGAAACTGATTACATGTTGTCACTTAAATGGCCCTTTTGGATACTCGTTTCTTAGATTATCAACATGCTTGTATTGGTACGATCCAAACCACCCTTAATGCTGGAATAGTATTTATTACACTGTTTCCAAATTTCAACATGACCCTTACGGACCCAAGACTCCTTTCTGCTCTTAAAGTCTAGCTATAGCTCACCGGAGCCCCTCAAACTCCTGATTCTATAGCTGTAACTTTACACTACTAAATGATATATCAGATCCAGAATCATGCTATTGATCTAAATTTTCTTGGCATTGAGGATGCACTTTTCATCTCAATGGATAATAATCAAACTTTCTGCGTCCATGTACCAAGACAAATTCCTTATGATCAATTAGTTAAATTACTCCCTGATACTTGAGTAACTAATTATGAAATCTCAGTTCACAAAAAAGAAAGATGGTACGGTTATTATTAAATTTAGTAAGGCAAAGAAGAAATCTCTTCTTCTATTTTTCTTACTATTTTTATGATGCAACCCTGTCATGCTGATGTTCCAATTGAGGAAGGCGACTCAGATCCGAAGACTATGATCAAGTCTTTTGATCAAACGGGACGACCTATTCATTTTTACAAAGATCCTCGAACAGGACACTATTTCTGGGATCAAGATTGTCAATGTTCCCTTTTCACAAGCCCTCTTGATGACGAAGAAGATGACGGACCATCCATAAAGAAAAAGAAACGGTCCAAAAATAGTCTTTACCAGAGATATCTTGATGGAGATCCTACCATAGGACCCCTTAGTAAGGATGGAGGAAGATACCAATTTATGGTTTCATATGGACCACCCCGGCCACAAACTCCTCCTCCAGTTCCAAAACATTGTAAACCTCATTCACCTCCACAAGCACCACCCATAAAAACTATACCACAAAAGCCAGTGGTTTCAACATTCTATAAACCTATCCAAAAGTGGGTTAAGAAAAATTTCTATCCTTTGCAATTACCCAAAGCACCTTAGCTTTCATGTGTTTCAAAGCCTGAACCATCGCCAGCACTCCCAGTTGTTTGTATGTTCCAACCCTCAGACTTTCCACCCTTGGAAAGAACAAATTCTAGTGCTCCTTTTCCAGCATTAGAATAATTTACAGATGCACACCATCGGTTCCGACACATACCAAAAATTCCAAACCTTACGGGTATCGATGATCATGAGAGACAAAAGAAAGTTACTGCCGCCGAAGTTGTTCTGAATTGGCAATTGGAGAATGCTCTGACACAAAATAATGTCCTCAAGACAATTGATACAAAACTTTCGATTGTCCAAGCCCGTCTTGATCATGTCGATTAGAAGGTTGATCAAACGGCTTTGGTCACAAACAAATTGCTTAAGACATTCCAGAAGAGATTGCAGCAGATGGAATCGGGCAAATATATTTCCCATCATTATTTGGAAGAACAGACTGGTGAAATGAAAAAGCTACGTAGACAAATTAAACTCCTTTAAGAAGGAAAATTTGTTCTTACACTAGACCCATTTTCTCAATCTTGGTACCCAACTCGGATGGAAATCTCCCCTCCAAAAGTCACTTCAGTTGCCTCAATTATTGCAAAAGCCCCAAAAGAAGATCGGAGTGATATTGTTACACTTCGAAATCGCATCCGTGAAATGGAAAAACAAAAGAAGATGCAGCAGGAGAAGAAGTCTCACATTCTTGAACCTTCCCAAGAACCTCTTTCTTTCCACATGGTTTCAAATCCATTAGAGGTTTTTTTGCGAAATCAATGCCAACAGAAGCTGCCAGTTATTGCTACAATTGATCCATCTCAGCAAAATACCTCTTCCAGTTCTGAAACAGCCTCTTTTCTTCATAAGAAACCTCACCTTCTGATCCTGATACACCAAATTTCGCTAAAACTGCTATTCTTATGGCCGATCCCCCTAAGGCAGATATGGAATCAAACTCATCTGAACCAGAAATAGTAAACATCTATAATCAGAACTCTCGTTCTGGATCTTCAACCTCCAAATACTATTTCACTCTTGATGATATTCCATACACTAAATGGTAAAAAAGATTACAGGAGTTCCATGCTTGGCTCAACACTAGAGCCCTTACTGTTAAAAGTCGTATTGGATGATTTTCAACTTCTAAATTAACTAAGTTAAGATTTTCTCAGCATCCATTATCTTTCACTAGTGGGTTATTTTTCGGACTTGCTAGTATTTTGAACAGACACCGGTCTCCTTGTTATGTATTAATTAGTAGATACTTTGGTAACCTAACAAAATGTTTATTATGAAAATCTTTTTGTCGAACCAATTGGCAATTTTCCCATTTGTGCTTATTTTTTCTATTTAACCCCTCACACGTTTTCCTCTTAAAGATATGGAGTTTGCTAGTAATGAGGTCATGCATTGCCTCATGAAATTTGGCTTTAATTTATTAGTACTTGGAATGATTATTGCTCCCACTTGGCCAAATGAAATGAAGTTTTCTCTCCTTCACATAAATATATCTTCTTTTGGCTTATGATATCAAGCCATTTGCACCCTAGCTATTAGCATAGAGGGCACATGAATTAATTATATTGGAACACTTACCCCTTTATTTTATTAAGGCAATGAATACCCTTATGACTCCCTCATTTACTTGGCCAAGAAGAAAAAGCCATATGTCATTTGAATCAAAATATCTTTCCCTAGCTAATCTTATAAGGTCACTTGTATCCTAGCTATCTACTTAGGGCCACTTGAAGCATTTCAATCGGAACACATACCCTTCTATTCTTAAGCATAATGATTTTAACCCAAAGTTATCATTACTTTTAACCTTGTTTAGCTAGATTCATTTCCTTTGGCCTATAAAAAGACCATCATATGTCTTCAAGCTTCAAAAAAGGACTTTCAACTTGTTCTTGCAAACGAGAGAGAGATCGAGATAGAGATCTTCTGTCGCTTTCCTCTTCTATTTTCACATTCCAATCTTTCGTGTGAAAGGAAAGATTCTATTCGTATGTTGTAAAAGTTTCAAAATTCCATCTTTCAAGAGTTTACGAGGTGGTTAAGGTTTTGAGTTTCCAAGTCTTTAATTGAGGTAAGTGAAAACTTTAGGCGCTAAGCTAAGTTGTTCTAATGAGTACTTGACTTGGTTGGTTGATGGTTGTTATATTTTGTTTGCCATCGTTGTCAAGTGTAGGTAAATTTTAATGATGATATGTGAAACCTTTGTGTTCACTTGAATTGGAATCGTTGAGCTTGTTCCGTGCCTAGGAGGTGTTTGATAGATTTCCTAGGAGGTATTTGATTGTTTCGCTAAGATGTGATGACAAATTTTGAGTGAAATGACGTGAGTGTTTTATGCTGATTTTTGGACATAAATACGTGTATGAGAAATGTAAATAATGATATGAAAATGTTCCGGCGTCCACAAGATTGTAACAACAATGCCTCGGAGTTGAGATGCCCCGTGAATCAGGATGCCCCGTCGGATGTTACGGGATGCCTCGGAGTTGAGATGCCCCGTGAATCAGGATGCCCCGTCGGATGTTACGGGATGCCTCGGAGTTGAGAAGACCCGCGAATCGGGATATGATGAAACAATGAATATGATGCATGCTCGTGAAAATACGTATATGCATGTTAATAAGGCACCAAATGATACTAATGAATCAAGAAATTATAGGCTATACATGTGCATTGAATAGATAATACCATGCATTCATGTAAGGCACTTGCAAAGAAGGTAAGGTGTGTGCTCATGCATTAATTATGTTGCTATGAATGTTTGTGATTGTTATACCAAAGCAGGTGCGAAGGTGAACTCCTACTTTAAACCTAGAGATTTCATTTACTGAGTTTCAGCTCATTTCTTATTTTTCAGTTTGTAGGATGGTCCCCCAGATATGACGATTGAGGGGATGAGATGTTATCAGAGGCCATCAACCCCTGAGTTGATGGTGGCTCTCTTTTGGGTTATTACGGGAGTAGTGGTGCTAGTAGACCCAACCTTCTTTTCGGGATTATGTATTATATTGTGTTAATAACTACTGGTGTAATCTTTTTGTCAGGGATGTTGTGAAATGCTTGTTGTGCTTCCGCATGCGTAATTATAATTATAAGTAAAAAAATGGAAAGGACTCGTCTCGCGCGTGACGTTCTAGGGTGTCACAATACATGTATATCATAATAATAGTAAGTGCAATAAAAATTCTTATGTTTCCTTATATTATTTTAAGCTACGTTTGGTAGTCCAGATTTGAGTCTGGATAGAATAACAAAATGTCATATCAAATGTATGGAGACGTCTTCTCGACCGAATATACTCGAATAAAAATCCGAATTAAGGGGTGGGATAGACCCGGATTGAATAAAAAAGTAAAAAAAGAAACATAACAATTTCCTTCCAACTGATAGAGTGATGGACAAGCACGACCGCCACAATAAACTATCACTCCTGACCACCGTGCAATCGTTATTGTCTCTGATCAATGCCGATCGTCATCACCGTCCAGCCGATTGTCCTCTGACGACTATCTAACCTATCCGTTTGTCACTGATGGATGACCCGAAATCGAAGCATCGACCCAAAAAGTCATCTTTGAAAAGGTTGACATTTTTTCTCCATCCTTAATTGGAGGAAATTTCTTTCACTCAGTATTTCATTGATGGTTTATACACGTGGACATATGCAAGATATCAATAATTCGTAACCCGCCAACCAGATATATGGATAGAGGAAAATATGTCTCTTTAATGAAGGAAACAAAAGTACTTATGGGAAAACTTGGAATTATTATATGAAAGTAGTAAATTAATGTGTTACCATTTGTATTATATTGGGTGGAAATTTTAGAATCGTGAATATTAATAAGTCAAAAGGACCTCTATGTTCACACTTCAACTTTCCCACCAAAGTTCAAGATATTATTCGAATTTCAAAAATTTATGAAAAAAAAATTGTTTGTAAATTTACATGTCAATATTTGAGTATTATGAAAATTTCAAGAGTTTCAAATCTAAAAGAAGCCAAATAGGAGCAAAATTTAGATTAAGCACAATCCACGTGAATCCTCAGTAAATCCACATAAATCCATGAATTTTAAAGATCCCGCAGAAAAAGAATCGATGGATGAAAATTAATTGAAAAGAAGTTGCGCGAAATATAATCCCGTGATAAGCTGAGTCAATTTATAGAATAGTGAGATTGGTGAAATTCCGAGGACGATAAGGTTTCGTTTGTTTCGCGGAAAATGAATGGTTTGGAAAATATTTTCTTAAAAAATGATCGCTCATATAATTTGAAATAATTAGTCAATAGAAAATATTTTTATTTTAATTATAATTTATGTCTAAATATTTTCGTAGATGAAAAAAATATTAATTATTTATTTATTTTTATAAATGATACAACGGACCATTTTGAGTTAACAAACGAGACTTACGTGTACGTAACTCTACCTTCGCGAAAATCATTTTTGCGACAGCTGCGAGTCTGTTATCGAAGACAGAACCTGGAAAGAGGCTTTCTTTCCTTTGGCTGCTGCCTTCTGCAAAGATCCCGAGCGGAAGTGGAATGCAGATCTGATCAAAAAGCGGAGGAGGAGGAGGAGGAGAAGGAGGAGCTGCGAATTCGAGCGTGGAAAGAGAGAGAGAGAGAGAGAGAGAGAGAGAGGGGAATGGCGGGGTTGGGATGGGCGATATGGGAGGGGCTGGTGGCGGTGGGATCGGTGGTGCTGCTGGGCTGGGCGGGGCTCTGGTTCCTGAACCGGCGGCTGTACAAGGAGTACGAGGAGAAGAGGGTCCTCGTCCAGATCATCTTCAGCGTCGTCTTCGCCTTCTCCTGCAATCTCCTCCAGCTCGTCCTCTTCGAGATCATCCCTCTCCTCTCCCGCGAGTGAGTCCCCTTCGCTGCCGTTGCCCCCCCCTTTGTTTCGATTCCGTTCGAATTGAATTTCGGACTCCTCCGTCGGTCTCATCCCTTTCCCAACCCCCTCTTTTTTTTGTTTTGTTCTTTTTTTGTCCCCGTCTAGGGCTCGATGGCTCAACTGGAAGGTGGACTTGTTCTGCCTCATACTGCTCTTGGTCTTCTTGTTACCTTACTATCACTGCTACCTCATGCTCTGCAACAGCGGTAACCTCCTCGTTCTGATCCCGATTCCCCCCCTCCTCCTCCTCCTCCTCCTAGTTGCTTCCGTAACCATCCACTCACCCCCCAATGTCTATCAGGTGTGAGGAGGGAACGTGCTGCCACCGGAGCCATTCTGTTCTTGCTGGCATTTCTCTATGCCTTCTGGCGCATGGGCATCCACTTCCCCATGCCTTCGCCGGATAAAGGTCTGATTCTCGCTATCCGTCGCTTTGGCCTTTTTCTCTTACCTGAGTCCACTTTCCGTCGCGCACCGCCCGGTGCCTTCACCTCGCAGACCTGATGTTGAATGCACATGTTCAGGCTCTGCCTCATGGTTTTTGCTTGTATCTCGGACTCTGGATAGTCTCACTAAGGGTTTAGTGCGTGGTTTCTCAATCTTTATTGTTGCCAGGTTTCTTTACCATACCTCAGTTGGTCAGTAGGATTGGAGTCATTGGCGTGACTGTTATGGCCATCTTATCTGGTTTTGGAGCTGTAAATTTGCCCTACAGCTACTTGTCTCTCTTCATCAGGTAATTCACATTGCAGTGCCTTTCTCCACATGATAATAACCTGTCTTCCTACTTTTGCTTTGTTATCCGCAAACACTGGTCTCGACTGTGGACTGGCCAGTTAATCTGGTGCAACCAATCTTTTCCCTGCTTATAAACAATTGTAGCAAAAAATGAACGAAGTGATCAAAGCTGTGAGTTTTGGACATTAGAATAAATCGCCTCCCCTTCTTTTCTCGGTTTAAGATTGAAATTGAGTGCGTAAACTATGAGCACTTATTTGCGGCACATCCCCCAACAGTTGATATGTCTGGGCTTATTTAGAATAAATATATGGGCTTCTTTTCACTGATAACTGAGTTCTTCTAGAGTGATCTCTTTGTCTTGTATTCTTTAAATGTTGTAGAGAGATTGAGGAAGCAGAGATTAAAGCGTTAGAGAGACAACTGATGCAATCAATAGAGACTTGTATCCTCAAGAAAAAGAAAATTATTCTTTGCCAGATGGAAATGACACGGATGCAAGGATCAGAAGAGGTTTCCTCTCTCTCTCTCTCTCCTCTATGGTTGCATACCCTTACATCTTGTGTTTGGAATTGGCTTTTGCTGAAAGAAGATCAAGATAGTAGTATTATTTGTTAACTTTTATTGGATTAGATTACTTGCTATTTATGGAACTTTTTTTTAATGCTTTACTGTTTGTGTCTTGTGCGCCTCTTTTCATTGTATCTCCCACTGCAAAGGCTAGTATAGATCATGTACTGTTGGACATAGCTCAAGCTTACCCATTGAGGATATGCAAAAACTTCCAAATTTAGCTGGCAACTCTCTTTTCTATTGCGTGAGTTAATTCCGAGGGAGTGAAAATATGGATGCTTGAACTTTTTTGAGTTAAAAAATCTGAAGTTTGCAGCACCTTTAATTGATTTTAATGCAAAATACATAAGATATGTGGCTGTTCTGTTTTAAAATCTGCGTTAAAATTTGAGTACCTTAGTAAGTATCAACTTTCAAGTAAAGAGATTTTGAATCACAAAATTAGCGAAGATTTTGATGCAAGTGTAAATGAGCTGCCAGATAATTCAATAGGAAATTTAAATGTTTAAATTTTTTTAACTGGTCTAATGCTGAGCGAAGGGTTCTGTATTTTCCCTTTTATCAATATCGAAAGAGCTGAAGCTTTTCCAGTGCCTTGTTGCAGCTTCTACTAAATCTAATATCTTCACTGATAAAGAAATTTTCATGTTGCAGAAGTTGAAGGCTAGATCTTTGTTCAAACGGATTGTTGGCACAATGGTAAGAACAGTGCAAGAGGACCAAACGGAGCAAGGTCAGCATCGATCTGCTTTCAAACTTCTTTCTGTTCCTTTGAAGAGGGAGGAAATGCAAATTATGCAATTAAGAAAGTATGTAGTAAGCTTGCATTTTATGTTCAGAGATATGACTAAACATGTAGCCCATGAGATCGGTTTAGCGGCTAAGGAAAAAAATGTGTGGGTTTAGTGCATGCCACCGGTTCAATTTCTCGCAGTGCAAACAGTCCTTTATTTGAACTTCTCATCAGGCTTTATTCGTGTTTCATTATCATGGAATTTACCCATCTATTGTGGGTTTCTTATCAGAAAACGATCTGCATTATGCACTTATATTTTTTGTTGGGTCTCCATGCTGGTATATCCTTTTATGCTCTGACATGTGACTGACCTACAGTTTGTATCGTCATGCCAATTCTGTTCCTGATGAGATTCTCCTACCTTTACTCAGCCTAACCTCTATCCATCTTGCCGAAACTTATTGCAATTTTCTGTTTAAAGTTAGTTGAAAATCTTTGTCATAACTATGTGGGCTGGACAGTAGCTTTATGCTAATGTCTGGGTCTTTAGTATTAAATCTGTTTACCAATCTGCTGCAGAAAAATTAGCCTGGAAATGGAGTTCCAATTGCCGCGGATGAAAGATAAACCCCACTGATTCGCAGATCAAATATGAATCGATGAATGGATAATAGAACTCAAACATTGAGTGCATGATATAGTTGAAAATTAGATGCTGTGGTATTGTTGTGGTTTAAGGTGATAAAATGTCAGTTGCCAAATAAGCCAACTTAAGTCTTCATATATCTCTTCAGTTCTTTTCATTGTTGGAATTCCACTACTGATAAGCTTTTAGATTTTCTCTGTACAACAGTCATTTTATAGTATGACAATGCCTCATACTGTTTTTTCTTCCTGTTAAGATATTAAGAACATGGAAGCAGAGGTGCAAGCTTTGGAAGAGCTCTCAAAGCAATTGTTTTTGGAAATTTATGAGCTTCGCCAAGCCAAGGTTTCTTTACATGCATCTTTTGCGATAAATTTTTAAAATAGGCTTTCTTCTGTTGTGAATCTCTTATGATGTTTAAGTGTTCTTCAAGCTGTTTTCTACATATATGTGGTATAGCTATATGTAAGGCTACTACCTGGGCTGTTAGCTACTTGCAATTAGCCTAGGAATGGTGGACGCTCTGTAGGACAAAATCTTTGGGTTTTTGGGAGCTACACTGTATAGGAAGATATAAAACCTACTTCTCTCTTTTTAGGTCAATATCAGTTTAATATTGAGAAACTTTTTTTTAATGCAGCCCTACTTGTTTCAAATTTTGGGCTTCCAGACTACTTCGATGGCATTGTGACCATTATAATACTAAAATGGCTGGATGAAAACATATCTTAGACCCTAGGTGGCATATTGCAGCTTGTGACCGCCATTTTTTGGCTTGTTGAATATATATTGCCATAGCATATGCTTTTCCACCTTAGTATTTGTCTTCATAGGTTCTAAAATGGCCATTTCCTCTAATGTAGGAGGCAGCTGCTTATTCTCGAACATGGAGAGGTCATATGCAGAATCTACTTGGTTATGCTTGTTCAGTCTACTGTGTATACAAAATGATTAAGGTATGGTTATACTTTGACAAAATATGCTGCAGTATGTGAAAATCCATTATCAGAAGAGGATGCTAATAGGACTTAAAACAGAGAAAAATAAACTAAAAAGTAGACAGTTTCTACTACCATCCTAGAAAATTTTCTTCCATGGTGACAGGCAATTCTTTCTCTTCCTGTAGCTTTCTATCTCTCTCCATCTATAATGCAATAATTGCGACAATCATGACAGATTTAATATCTGCAGAAATGTTCGACCAATCTGTGTGATCTTTAGGAACTCGCATTTTACCAAAATTGACTTATTGTAATTGGTATAGAAAAAACCATTTCCCTTGTAGAATTTGGTAACCGGGTGGTTGTGACTGTTTGTGATCTTCAAATTCCTTAAGAATATGTTTTTCTCTAATGTTGCCGTCAGAATATACTCCATTCAGATGTTTCCAACGTTGCTCTATTTTTCCAAATGTATTCAGCTGTAAATTCTGATTAGAGGATGATTTAAGTGCTATACAGAGCTCTATTTGACACAAACATCTTCCTTATGTTACTCCGCCACTTGTCTTTTGGGTTAATTCTTTTTAATCTTTTTCTTTGCTTGTAAGTATTGCAAAAGTTGCCACAACAATTCCAACAATTGGTGCTATGCCAAAGCATTGCCATAAACCTTCAAAATGCTATGCAAAGGACTTCCTGGATTAGTCTTGCGCTTAACCTTATCTTATTAGCTAACTGCTATTTCACATTCAATCATTGATTGAAAGTTCAGTATGCTTATGATTACAAGATTCCTTGGAATGTTATTATAAGTAAGGTCCACCCGCACCTCGTGTGATTACTCAGAGCATTCTTTTTGGGGGCTTGGCCCTGAGCTCGTTGCGTCAGGTGTGGGCATAGTCTGTCCATGAACCATACACCACTGGAGGGAGTCCTGCTTTGATATCATGTGCAACGTTTAAGCCTGATTTATGTGGGCCAAGCCCTCAATAGGAATACTCTGAGTAATTTCACAAGGTGACGACCACTTGGGGGTGGATGCTTACTTATGAGTCGCTCAAGGGTCTCATCCGATGTGAGACTTGGGGTATCACGAGAATATTTGGAGATGCAGTTCCTTTTGATTTTTTCATGACTTGGTTAATCAACTTTTCCTGCACCTTGATGTCTGTGAGAACTCTTCTGCCTACCTATTTCACAAATACAGTGGCTTCAAAATGCTATAGTGGTGGCCAGAATGAAAACTAGTCTCAATTTCATGTAGTTGCAAAACACGTTAATCAAATTTCGCGTTAAAATTGTGAACATCTCTCTCTATCGCTCTCTCTCTCTCACACACACGCAGTGAACACTTTATGTATGTGTGCAGACTCATTCATTCTACATTGAAATTTGCTTTTTTTATTGATTGGAAACATTTTAGCTTCTCAGCTTGTTTGTATGAAAGATGTTAAATTAAAGGATGTGTCTCATCCCACTAACTAGAGTCAGCAGAAAGAAATATGTTTGCAATATATCAAACTCCTGTCCCTTGTGACAAAGATGCTGAATATTTGCTTATGTGAGTTTGAAAAATACTGCCCATGAGCTTATGCATTGTACAGATACCATTGTATTGATCCCCGAATTCAAGATGCCTAATTGATTAATATAATTTCTCTCTGCAGTCTTTACAAAGCGTGGTGTTTAAGGAGGTATGTATTTCAATCTGACATCTCCTGTTGGTTTATCCATCTACTTTACTGAATTCATGATTTCCCATTTTTTTTTCTTTCAAGCGTAGTTTAAATAGGTAATTTACTAATATTCTTGTTTTCGAAGTATTGACCGATTTTGGCTTCCACAGGCTGGTTCAGTAGATCCTGTGACGAGGACAATCAGCATATTTTTGCGGTTATTTGATATTGGTATCGATGTCTCTTTGTTGTCTCAGGTTGGTTTTATAGCTTGGTTTCTGCAATATTTCTGCATTTATTTGGATGCATTTCTTCTAGTAAGTTGGTTTGTTGTCATCACTCCTTTTTTTTGTACATGGTATAACAATGTTCATCCTGGCAATACCGTGATTTAAGTATCGGAAATTTCACAAAGATTCTTTTCTTAATTTGTTATTTGGTTGCCTATGGAAAAATATTTCGCTCCTCTCTTGTAATGGTATATGTTATAGGTTTATGTGAATATTCTGCTTATAAAAGTTACCCTTGTGAGATTTTTGCATTGCTAAATAGGAAAACTCATTATTTTTGGATTCCATAAGGTGGAAAACCATTAGCTTAGAAATTTTGATCAAACTTAAAACCATTGTTCGATGAATCATTATGTGGAGCAACATTTGTCATTTTGCTCAAGGAGATAGTTAGGAACGTGAAGATCAGATCTGGTGGCACTAGTGTCTATTATTGATTTATTCAGTGACATAAACTCTAGACATAGAAATTCAGGGTCATAGCCTAGGACTTCAAGAAGGTAAGTTTTTGAGGTTGTCTCTCCATGTTTGGAACATGGAGGGATTCGCCCCACGATATATTAAAGGACGTGCTGTCGTGAAGGTTAAAGTGCTCATATACGGATGCATGTTTTTCCCTTGATTGTGTAGTCATGATTATCCTGTCTCTTTGGAAGTCATAAATATTATTTAAAGAGAATAGTTATAGTGGAAAATGGGTCAGTGAACATAAATTCTAGCAAGTAATTGAGCACTGATGATCTTACCTGGAGGGTTTGTCTTGTGGGATTCATTGCTCATAGGCTGTCAGACACTAATGATTTATGAGTAGGGTCCATTTATGCAAAAGGGCTGGAAGTCAGTACCCTATCCGTGTTCCCCTATATGATATTTTAGATGGAGATGGTTCTGGGTTTCATCTTCTATACAGATGTTTAGACAGTCATTTGATTAGATAATTATCTCATGCAAATAATGGGAACCCAACAGAGAGCATGCTTGATCATTATTGTGTGCCAAAATCCTGAACTTTACTACTATCCCTCCCACAATTTTTTGGCTTGGGAGAGATTTGAGGGCTTTTGGGAGTCTAGCGTCTAATTTTCTTGATGTAAAGAATTGATTGTCACAGGCTTTTAGTATAGTTGGATTACTGAAAATTCACTTTTGACAGTTTACAATTTGTAAGAGTTAGTAAACTCTTTCTATGTAAGCTTGGATAGGGGTTTTACCCCCTTGGTACCTCTCGCATATAAAATTTCCTTATTTAGCTTTCAAAGAAAATTCTGAATTCTGTTTAAACTTCATTATTGTTACTAAGCTGATTAGAGAACCCGCAGAAAAATAACGAGAGAAAAGAAGGAAGAGAGAAGAAAAAGAGAGGAGAAGAAGAGAGAAAGAAAGAGATTGTAAAATCCAAGAAAGGGGCTCTTGGTTTCTGTGTGTAACAGAAACCCTACACCCATCACGATATATTTATATTAAATATGAATTGTATATGACCATAATGCCCTTATATATGTAAAAAAGGAATAAAACTTAGAAAATAAAAAATAATTCTACTCTAACACTTCCCCTCAAGCTGGAGCATATAGGTCACCCATGCCTAGCTTGGAACAACCAGCAACAAAGGCAGGACGAAACAACGCTTTAGTGAACATATCAGCAAACTGATCTCTAGAGGCAACGTAAGGAGTGGCAACCAACTTCTGCTTCACAGCATCACGAACAAAGTGATAGTCAACTTCTATATGCTTAGTTCGCTCTTGAAAAACAGGATTTCCAGCAATATAAATAGCTGCCTGATTATCACACATCATATCAATAGGATGATTAATAGAAAATCCAAGCTCTTGGAGAAGAGATTTCAACCACAGTAATTCAACCACAGTTTGTGCCATAGCACGATATTCAGCCTCCGCACTAGATCTGGCAATGGTAGTCTGTTTTTTGCTTCTCCAAGTAACCAAATTACCACCAAGAAAGGTGCAATACCCAGTCGTAGACCGCCGATCACACTTTGACCCAGCCCAATCAGCATCAGAATAGCCAACTAAGGTGGAAGAACCATTCGGTTTATAAATCAGTCCCTTACCAGGAGAGCCTTTAAGATATCGAAGAATGCGACAAACAGCATCCCAATGAGCCTTCTTGGGTGATTCCATAAAATGACTCACCACACTAACAGCAAAAGAAATATCGGGACGTGTAACAGTAAGATAAATTAGTTTCCCAACTAGACGCCGATACCGATGTTTATCTTCAGTATCATCTCCATCATCAACTCCAAACTTTTGATTTGGATCCATAGGAGTATCAACTGGCTTGGAAGCTAGTGTACCAGTCTCAGATAAAAGATCAAGAACATACTTTCGCTGAGACAAATTAATACCTTTCCTACTTCGTAAAACTTCAATACCTAGAAAATACCTAAGAGCTCCCAAGTCTTTAATCTGAAATTGCTGTTGAAGAAAAGATTTAACCTCAGAAATTTCGGTCGCATCACTACCAGAGACAATTATATCATCCACATAAACAACAAGAATGACCACTCCCGACTCCTTGCGAACAAAAACAGAATGATCAGAATAACATTGGTGAAAACCACACTTGGAAATCACTGAACTGAATTTCTCAAACCATGCTCTAGGAGATTGTTTCAACCCATAAATGGCTTTATGTAGCCGGCATACTTTATCATGCGATCCTCCCCCGGGCAACATACCCGGGAGGTTGCTCCATATATACTTCTTCGAGACAAATCACCATAAAGAAAAGCATTCTTGACATCCAATTGATATAATGGCCAATCAAAATTCACAAGAAGAGAAATAATAACACGAACGATTGAGACGTGCCACGGGGAAAAAGTCTCAAAATAATCCACTCCATAAGTTTGAGTAAAACCTTTAGCAACGAGCCGAGCTTTGAGACGCTCAACTGAGCCATCCGGGTTATACTTGATAGTGTACACCCAACGACACTTCACCACATCTTTCCCAAGAGGAAGATCAACCAAAGACCACGTTTGGCGGGACACCAAAGCTTCCATTTCTACATCCATAGCTCTCTTCCACTCGAGATGAGACAAGGCCTCAGTGGTAGAAGTAGGAATTGTGTGAGTATGTAATGATAGAGCAAAGTCATGTAATGGAGGAGGAAGATGTGAAAGAGACACATAACGCTCAATAGGGTAAGCAAAAGAGGATTTTTGTGTACAAGAACGAGTACCTTTGCGAAGGGCAATCGGAAGATCGTCCGGACCAGGAGACAAGGAGGGACATTGAACGGAGGGCACGGAAGAGCTGGAGACCGGTGGTGCCGTAGACTGCTTTCGCCGCTGATATACCTGCAAGGGAGGAGGTACGGAAGGACTAACAGAATCTAAGGGAATAAGTTGTGGAATAGGAGGATCAACTACAATGTCAGTTGAAAACTCTTTACCCTCAGTAGAATAGTATGGTGTGCCCTCGAAAAAAGTAACGTCAGCACTGACATATTGAGTACAAGTCATAGGATCATAACACCGACATCCCTTTTGAGTACGTGAATACCCGAGAAAAACACATTTAGTAGCACGAGGGGATAGTTTATCAGCACCAGGTCGTAGATTATGGACAAAGCAGACACACCCAAAGACACGCGGGGTAAGAGGAAATAACGGCTTGAAAGGAAATACAATACTGATTGGTGACTGTTGATTGAGGACAGTGGAAGGCATACGATTTATGAGGTAACAAGCGAAGGACAAAGATCACTCCAAAATGATTTTGGGACATGCATATGTAACAAGAGTGAACGAGCAACTTCTAGAAGGTGACGGTTCTTTCTCTCGGCCACACCATTCTGCTGAGGGGTATAAGTACAACTTATTTGATGTATAATGCCAAGACTAGAACAAAACAAAGAAATTGATTTTTGTGAGTATTCTAGAGCATTATCTGTTCGCAAAATTTTAAGGGATGTATTAAACTGATTAGTAACTTCACGATGAAATAATTGAAAAACATGTAAAAATTCAGAACGATCATGAAGCATATAGAGCCATGTTAGACGAGAATAATCATCCACAAAAGTAACAAAGTACTTAAAACCATTTCTATTAGCAACACGGGAAGGTCCCCAGATGTCTGAATGAACAAGTTCTAATAAAGTAGATGCACGAGAATCACTACGACTAGGAAAAGAACTACGATGATGTTTCCCAAGTTCACAAGCCTCACACTCAAGAGTAGAAATTGATTTACACTCGGGAATTATTTGTCAGTAACTTAAATAAAGATAAATGCCCTAAACGGGAATGCCATAATAGGGGGTAATAGGACTAGCGAGCTAGACCATTGGCGTCAGCAGTGGAGACACCATCCAGATAATAGAGTCCATCATGTTCATGCCCTCCACCAATCTTCTTCTTTGTCTGAAGGTCCCGAAAAATGCAATAGGAGGGGTAAAATGTAACATAACAACTAAGATTTTTAGTTAACTGACTAACAGATAACAAATTCAAAGGAAGTTGGGGAACATGTAAAACGGAGGACAAGGATAAGGAGGGTGTAAGTGAAACAGCCCCTGATCCAACCACTTGAGTAGAGGAACCATTAGCTAGAATAACTTCAGGTGAAGGACTAGAGTTATGGTGAGAAGAAAATAATTCTTGCTTACCGGTCATATGACTAGAAGCTCCTGAGTCAATGACCCAAGAGGTGCCAGGAGACAAAGTAGAGAAAAAGGCCATGTTACCTGTACGTGCAAGAGTGGCAGTAGATGAGAAATTGGAAGCCTCCAGTTGTTGGACACGCTTGATGAGTTGTGCGACCGTATCATCCCGAGACGCGGACTCAGAAGAATTACCCCCACTTGGGATAGATGGATTCGTGTCGCTGTAAGACACATTTCTAGCACTCCCTTCAGCCATAGCAGCATTTGCAGTAACTAATCGCTGAGGCCACTCAGGCTTGCCATGCTTGGCCCAACATGTGTCAACAATATGACCAGATTTGCCGCAGTATATACACTGACGGCTATCTCGATCAGAATTTTGTCCACTACGTCCACCACCACGACCGCGACCTCCCTCTAAACCACGACCTCTATTAGAAAATCCACCACGACCACGAACACCACTACTAGCCACAAATGCTGAATTATCTTTAGATTATGTAGAAGACGGAGGGACAATGCGCTAAATCCGACAAAATGCTTCATTCAGAGAAGGAACTCTCTCTCCAGCAAGAAGCTGACTCTTCATAGGCTGTAAGTCAGCATTCAAGCCTGATAAAAACTTGGCCACCTGAAATTCAGCTCGTTGTGTCTTTAGTGTCTCAAGATTAGTAGTGATGGGCTGATAAAGATTAAGTTCTTCCCACATGCCTTTCAAAGCACTATAATACTCTCCAAGAGACTTGTCCCCCTGTTTAAAATTAAAGATCTTCTCATAGAGCTCATAGACTCTAGACATGTTTTTGTCTTGTGAGTAACTCTCCATAAGATCATCCCACACTCCCTTGGCAGTTGTGTGGAACATGACATTAGCAGCAATGGATGATTCCATGCTATTCCATAACCACACCAAAAGTGTATCATTCTCTCTCATCCAGTCACTATAGTCTTTAGAGTTTTCAGCAGGGGGTTCTGTAGTAAGATAATTAAGTTTCCCTTTGGCATTAATATAAACCTTCACAGCTTGAGCCCATAGCAAGTAATTGGAGGATCCATTCAATTTAATGGTGGTAATCTGAACATTGACACTGTCCGTAGAAGACTTAGTGCCATTCATGGTGAAAATCTCAATATAAATATATCTACCACCGATCAAAAAGGCCGAAACTTCAGTGCAAGAAATAAAACAGCAATACCAACATATAATCAGATGCGATTGGCTCCATCAATCAAACAAAGGGATGCTGAAATTTTATAAATATAGGCTGCATAATCAACGAAATACCCTGATCCTTGAATCTGCTGATCAGGAAGTGTTGTAATCCATTGTCACAAACAGAACCTGATAAATCTGATTTCTCCTGATCTTATATGTAATCGGGACTTGAAGAGAAAATAGGTAAAAATTGTAGCTTTAGGTGGCTACGCACCAGAGAAGGAATAGGGTTATTAGGGGACTCTCAAACCAGCAATAGGACCAGGAAATCAGGTAGTCAAACCGTGCTCTGATACCATGTTACTAAGCTGATTAGAGAACCCGCAGAAAAATAACGAGAGAAAAGAAGGAAGAGAGAAGAAAAAGAGAGGAGAAGAAGAGAGAAAGAAAGAGATTGTAAAATCCAAGAAAGGGCTCTTGGTTTCGTGTGTATGTAAACCCTACACCCATCACGATATATTTATATTAAATATGAATTGTATATGACCATAATGCCCTTATATATGTAAAAAAGGAATAAAACTTAGAAAATAAAAAATAATTCTACTCTAACAATTATTTTAAATGATGCTAATGTCTATTTTCTCTTTGTCAATTGTGCAGTACATATCTTTGATGTTCATCGGAATGTTGATTGTTATATCAGTTCGTGGATTCTTAACAAATTTAATGAAGGTAACTACTGATTTTTGTAAAGTTGAATTCAATATAGGGTGGAATTTAGATTGTTTTCTTTTATTATCCATTTAGCGAGTACATAAGTCAATTAGTATATACCATTTGAAAGGCATTCTATTCACATCTTCTGTGAGTTCTATGCTCTATGAGGCGGATGGAATTGTCTCAAAATGTACTAGTGGCTCCATCTTTAACAAACTTGGGATTCAACTGATAATTTTGGTCTTCTATACAGTTCTTCTTTGCAGTTTCCAGAGTCGGAAGTGGGTCTTCTAGCAATGTTGTACTTTTCCTGTCCGAAATAATGGGGATGTATTTTGTCTCTTCTATTCTCCTGATACGGAAAAGTTTGGCGAATGATTACAGGTAATTATCATTCTCCAATACAAGTACAGTTTTTTTTCTTTTTGTGGATGTGCCTTACATTTTAGGACTTGTTTAGTAACGTTTCTGTTTCTCTGTTTTTCTGTTCTTTTGTTCCTCGGAACAGAAAAAGAACAAAAATCCGTTTAGTAACGTCAGTTAGTTTTTTTGTTCCCCGGAACGGAAAAGTGGTCTGGGAATAGATTTGGAATAGAAATAAGAAATAAAAAAAATCTACTTTTCTGTTTCTGGAATAAAAAAACAAACAATAGAGAAACAAGATCAGCTCTCCCTCTTTCACAAGATATTCTCATGCTAAACCCTAAAATCCCAAATCCTAAACCCTAAAACCCTAAACCTTAACTCTCAAACTCTAAATCCCAAAACCCTAAATCTTAACTCCCAAAATCCTAAACCCCAAAACCTTAAACCTCAATACCCAAACCCTAAAACCCATAACACTAAAATGAAAAACCCGAAACCCTAAACTCTAAAACCCCAAAACCCAAATCCCTAAAACCCTAAACCCAAACCCTAAACCTTCTAAACCCAAACCCTAAAATCCCAAACCCAAAACCCGAAACACTAAACCCCAAAACTCCAAATCCGAAACACTACAACCTAAACCCTAAAATCGTAATTCCAAACCCTAAATCCTAAAACGATAAACCGCAAAATTCCGAACCCTAAACCATAGACCCCAAACCCTATACCCTAAATCCCAAACCCCAATACTCAAAACCCGAATCCCTAAAACCATAAACCCTAAACCCGAAATGCTAAACCTAAAACCCCAAACCCGAAACTCTAGAACCTAAACCCCAAACGCTAAACCATAAAATCCACAATCTAAAATCCAAAACCCCAAACCCTAAACCTCAAAACCGAAATCCTAAAGCCTTAACCCCTAACCCCAAATCCTAAAATCCTACACCCTAAACTGCAATTTCCTCGATGACCACCCGATATTTGATTTGTCTATAAGGAGTAATTTTCTTTATGATTGTATTAAGGTCATCCAATTCTATATCATAATATATTATTATTCTATTTCTAATCCAATTTTATCCAAACATTAATTGTTAAGTCCCCTAAACTGCAATTTCCTCGACCACCACCTGGTATTTGCTTTGTCTATAAAGAGTAATTTTCTTTATGATTGTATTAAGGTCATCCAATTCTATATCATAATATATTCTTATTCTATTTCTAGTCCAATTTTATCCAAACATGAATTGTTAAGTCTCCACCGACAATTTTATAATTAAATGAAAAAATTGGGAAGAGAAATTTTTAGTGTCTTACCAAATGCATTTCTGTTTTTTTTCTACTCCGGGAATAGAAATTTTGTACAGTTACTAAACGCGTTTTTTTTTGCTTAAAAACTCGTATAGGGAATAGAAATAGAAAAAACTATTTCTGAACAGAAACGTTACTAAACAGCACATGAGAGAATTGTGTTAAATCAATTGGTTTGCATCGGTCCGAATTTTGTGTATGAAGGATAGCAGAAACCTTAAAAACCCTACAACTTTGTGAAACCAAAATAAAAAGTGGGATGTAGTTGACACCTTGACCAGGAGCACTTTGCTGGCTAACTGCATGAAAGGTCGGATTGGCTCATAGGTGGAAGACACTACCTTGAATTGGCTCTTTTCCTCGAACGTTAGCCTTGCATGAACTTGAGAGCAAAGAACTATTGCAGCGAAGTGTGGTTTATAAGTAATGTTTATTTCAGCCACACAATGCACTCGTAAGGTAGCCTGCTTAAGGATCCTTGTTTTTTTTTATAAGAAATTACATTTATTTATAGAGAAGCTCTTCTAGTATGTCAGCGAAATGCAAGAATTGAAAGAAAGAAAGGACGAATTAAACCAAATATCAGTAATACTAACTTGGACTAGAGTATGCATCCCACAAAAGCTTAGAAATAGCAAAGACTGAAGAAGATGAAGACTCTGCATATCTTGGTGTTCTTGCAAAATGTCTGAGATGCAAGTGAGATGATCAAAGCGATTTTATTTTGTTCTTCTGTGTGGTTGTTCTTGCCATCTTCTATGCCTTTGTATTTGACTCTCGTACATAAGAAATTAGCTTCTTAAAACTGATATATGGCTCGAATGCATTAGGATTTCTGCTTTGTTGTCAAACCTGGCGGTGATCATCCCATGGCATGCAAAATGTTAATAGGCTTCCTGAAGAGCATTCGTGTTTGTCTTGGCAGGTTGATCATTACTGACGTGTTAGGTGGAGATATCCAATTTGATTTCTACCATCGGTGGTTTGATGCGATTTTTGTAGCAAGCGCTTTCCTTTCTCTGCTTTTACTTTCTGCTCATTATACCTCGCGCCAGGCCGACAAACACCCTATTGATTAATTTCTTAAATTGGTAAGTACATTTAATTGCGGCAAGAACTTTTTCTTGTGGAACTTGAATAATCTAGTTTAATACTCTTTGCTATTGACACTGCAAATTGTTAGATGTTTCCTTTTGGGTAAGTTTTATTTTGGTCTCCTTTCTTGATTTTATTCTCCACCTTTTCTTCCTGTAATCAATTACTTGTTTGATTTGTGCGATCAAGTCTTTTGATCGATTTTTACTACGCCAGCAATGCCAGGGTAACAATTTTTTGGGATAAGGGTAGGTGACTCAAGCAGTTGATTACACAAATCAAGTGAGTTAGAAACTTGATTGTCCTTGTTAGCAGTCGAATTTGAAAAACAGTACAGATTAGATACCGAATTAGACTTCTGACTGTTTAATTGCACTAGCCTGTGCCATTGTTTGTAAACTCAAACAGTTTTATTGGCCAGGCAAGTCATGTAATTTCTATGCATTGTTATTAAGTTGAGTTTATTTTCTGTTGATTGTCTGGAGGAAATCTGCGTTAGATCTATGTTGTAAAATATTTGAATCAATGTCATCCGAATGTTGGCAAATAAACCAGCTGTTACTGTATACATAAAGTCAAAAATTTTAATTTTCTCTACCTTTTGATAGATGGACTAGAGTAGTTATATAGCTGTAGTCAGAAATTCCACTCGTGCATCAACAAATTATGGTGTTACATCTCTTGTGGCTTAACTGGAGAGAGGCTTTCTTTTTTTCCCTTTTTCTCTTTTGGCCCGAAAAAGAGGCTTTCTTTTGAAATTGCTACCATTTAGGGCTCCTTTGCAGACTTTTGGATTGGTTTTATACTTTGTACGGAGAGTAGGATTATTAAGATTCATAGTCAGGAAAGTTCTATTTCCTCTTAAATTTTCGTAAATCGAAATTTATCGGTCATCCTCTGTCGCTAGTAGGTGTCAAGTTTGTAAAATGCGTGAGATGGATGGACGGTGCTGATTTTCTTGTTCAATTGGCATGGTCAAACCTTTACCAAGTGCAAGCTGTGCCGAAGTTTCATGTGTATCTAATCTATTGAAGTTGGGGAGAAATGCTTTTTTCAATGTTTCAGGCATTGCTAGGGATGAGGGGCATGGCTTATTTGTACGAGTGGAAGTTGTGTTTCAGTCTTCACTCTTCTCCCCCCATGAATGTAGGAGTAAGAATTGGCGCTGTCTTGAAGTTGGATTTGTTGGGAAACACGGTGTTTTGAAGCTTGCTCTCATATGTCTGGTGGACCTCCGTATGATGATTGGAACCAAATTTTCGTCATCTTGTAGATAGTGGAACCGGCAGGCACGGAACTTTGTTTATGTCAGAGAAGCAAGAAGATACGGGAAGCTGTAAGCTGGGGTAGAATGATCACGCTCTCTTGTATATCAAATTTAGGCCTTTGTATACTGCGCCATCTGAATTTAGAACTCGACTATATTGGATCGGAATGTAAAAGCTTTCGCCTTATTCTAATTTTCTTTTTTGGTCGGTGTCTTTTTCTAATTCATTAGAACCAGAGTATTGAAAAGTTACTCTTCATGTCAGTAAGGATTTAAACATATATGGCTCTGAACAAATACAGGATGCATACGGGTCCGGATGAACTGATAAAAGAAAGAGAGAGAGAGATTCATGTGGATGCGGAAACCTGTCTTTTTACATATAGGAGTTTCATATGTTACACGCGTTATCCTTGATTACAATGCTTCTCACACTTTCTGCACCGGACTTTTGATGAATAAAAGATTATTACAATTATTATTGTAAAAGAGTTACATGGATTTGTACCAAATACGGGCACATGCGCACGGAATGTCTTGCCTAGATGGACACAAATTGATCACAGTCATTCATCATGTTGTTTCATCGAGTGGAACCCGCCCCAGCAGTAGTCGTGATGGATCTGGTCCATGAAGACTCGGGTCAAAGCAATTATTTGCCCCTTCGTATTACGCGGACTTGCCGAGTAGTAGTGTTACATTTGCTAACTGAGGAATGGAATACAATTGGGAAGTACGATGGAAAAGCAGTGGAATAAATGTAGTGATATGATAATTCCAATATCTTGTTTGGCGAATTGTAGGAATGGAATGGAAATTCTTATATTTGGTTGTGAGAATAAGCGTTGCGAGAACGGAATTGGATGTGAATTTTATAATTAACTTAGGCTCCGTTCGTTTGGCGGAAAATATTCTCCTTTTGGAAAAAATTTTCCCGGAAGTCATTTTCCTGGAAAATGTTTTCCCGGAACATAATTTTCCGGTGTTCGGTGACCAATATGAAAAAGTTTGGGAAAATATTTTTCGCCGGCGGCGGCGGGCGACCGGCGGCGGCGGCCGGCGACCTTAGTAAAGAAGAAGAAGAAGAAAAAGCTCCGGATAATGATTTCCGCTTTTGAAGAAGCGGAAGTTATTTTCCATAGACTTAGGATATTTTGTGAGGGGGGAAGGAAAATATTTTCCCATGGAAAACGTTTTCCGCCCCCCAAACACCGGAAAATATTTTCCGAAAGAATATTTTTCGCCAAACGAACGGAGCCTTAGTTTATATTGAACTTGCATTAGTTATAATTACATTGTACTAATATATGTGCCATCGGATAATATTGTCTATAAGTAATCTTCAATCAAATGTATAATTATTGATTGTTAATATATTTAATCACAATATTGGTTAGAGTGGGGAACACTGTGTCAGTATTGGAAACCTAGTCAGCGACATAGAGATGCGGGGGCCGAGGACTAACGATTCCCTATTAGAGGTAGAATATGGGGCGCATTCCACCACCTCTCTTCTGTGCACCAAAAAGTCAAAAGGTCCAAGAGCATCTGGTAACTCCTGGCATTCCAGAAGGGAAGCATCTTCGATTCTCAGAATTTGTTGGGCATGTTCAGTGAAGTTGGTTATCTCCTTGGTGTATTGTGCAGCCTCGTACAAACTCATCGAAATCCATCTGGTACACTAGCAAGAACGAACAAGCTTTTCTAGCTAATTTTACCGATACATTAACATACGACTACAAACCTAACAATTTGGTTAAGCTGCAGAATCATAATAGCCTATGACCGCAATAATGCACAGACGCAATTAGTCTTCTAATCAAGGCTCCTCATTGGATTACAAAGCCTATTACTCAGTTGTCTCCTTAGTGAAGTTGACTCAGACAATCATAATTTCATTTCTTTTGGAACATATGCTCTTCTCCTCCATCTTTTCATAATTTCATAAACAATACCATTTTTAGCTGATTGCATGAAAACTATGATTGTGATGAAGAATTATTTTTTGCGTAAATTTATCACAAATGTACCAGTTTTGAATTTTTTATGGTCAAAAAATTAGTTTTAAGTAAATTTGTCATAGATATACTAGTTTGTGATTTTTCGTGGTATTAACCCTACATAGGGAAAAGTGCCAAAAAAGTCATAAACCTTTTGCATTGGTGCCAATTTAGTCCTAAACCTTTTTTTGGTGTCAATTCAGTCCTAAACCTTTTGCATTGATGCCAATTTAGTCCTAAACCTTTTTTTGGTGCCAATTGAGTCCTAAACCTTTTGCATTGGTGCCAATTCAGTCCTAAACCTTTTGTCTTTGTGCCAATTCAGTCCTTCCGGTCAATTTTGGCCGGATTTTGCTGACGTGGACGCCGACCGGCCGGCAGCCAGTCACCGGCGCTGACGTGGATAACTTTAATAATATTTTAATATTTTTTAAATTTTTATTTTTTTTTTATTTTTTTTCTTTTCTTTTTTTTTTTCTCTCCCCTCCCTCCAGCCGGTCGCCGGACCGGCGATCGGCCGGTGGCTAGAGGCCAGAGGCCGGCGCCGGTGAGGCTCGCCAGTGGCCAGTGTGGGCGAGCCTCGCTGGCGCCAGCCTTTGGCCTCTGGCCGGTCGCCTGTCCGGCGACCGGCTGGAAGGAGGGGAGAGAAAAAAAAAAAAGAAAAGCAAAAAATTAATAAAAATTCAAAAATATATTAAAATATTATTAAAGTTGTCCACGTCAGCGCCGGTGACCGGCCGCCGACCGATCGGCGTCCACGTCAGCAAAATCCGGCCAAAATTGACCGGAATGACTAAATTGGCACAAAGACAAAAGGTTTATGACTCAATTGGCACCAAAAAAAGGTTTAGGACTAAATTGGCACCAATGCAAAAGGTTTAGGACTGAATTGGCACCAAAAAAAGGTTTAGGACTAAATTGGCACCAATGCAAAAGGTTTAGGACTTTTTTAGCACTTTTCCTACCCTACATATTATGATGAAGTGTCATATATATATATATATATATATATATATATATATATATATATATATGCAAGAAATAAATCCAACAATAATCGATATAGTAACAAAAGGAACAAGATGTAAGGGAAAAAAAAACAAAACAAAGAGAAATTTTCTTTTGTGATCTTACATATTGAATATGAATGAAAATAAGATGGGTAGCGTACCGTATTTCCTAACAAAAGTTATTTTCGCGTGTGTTGAGAATCACGACGAATTCACATATATTATAAAATATTTATGTCCGTTACATCACTAACTGTCGTTTCCACTTGACCGCATAATATAAAATGGCTCAACACAACAAGATGTTTGCAATTAGATCGAGGCGACAAGAATACACCTCGAACTTGGTTACTTATATATAACAAAAAAAAAGGAGGAGAGAGAATGAACTTGTATTCGTAGAAGAAAAAGCTCATTTCGTTGAAGTCACAAATGGAGGAAACTTGAAAAAAAAAAACAAAGGCTGCTGCGCCCATTGTCATCATCATGGTGAGCGTGTAAGTTATAACGTAATCATTTTATGTGGAAAATTTATGATATAGGATCTTAGATCTTCATGATTTTTACAATAAGAGGGATGAAGACATACCTTTATCCATAGCGTTTCCCTTGAAGATAATTGTTGCAGAAAACGGAAGAAACGAAGAAATCTGATTTCTCTCCCTTACCCACTTTTCTCTTAACGTATCTTATCGATGGAGGATAAAAATACAACGTTCTTTTTCATGCGTTATCGTGGGTGGAGAGAGGACCAGACTCTTTTTATATATACCCCTTCAAGTGGTGCGTTCCATCAAAGCGTTTCCCACTTCATAAGAGTTGCACCTCTTCGGAGGAACTTTAACTTCTCAATAGAATTATACATTTTCATCTATTTTTCATAACCAATACGTTCTAGCACTTAAATATTTATTAAACCATTAATTCATAACATCTTATGGGCCACATTATTCTTACATTCTCCCACTTGGCCCATATGACCTTCCTTTCATGGTTTAATAAAGACCATAATGTGCACAATAACATTATGCTAAAACCTTTCTTAAATTGCCTATCACATAATAATCACAGTTAAATAAAGAAACTAATGCGAGTCATAGCGGTTGTATACCATTAATCGACATAGTCCCTTCCATGTACTACAACTATAGCTCTCTACTTAATATGATCCATAAATGAGAAGTATAGTAATGGTCCAACTATAATGTCTTTGTTAGAGACTGTCCTGTTACACATTCATCTATTTCCATCATGTATACCAAATAGAAAACAGGAAATATCAGAAAGACATAATTGAGCTCACAGTGTCAAATCAATAAACTTAATGCACTCATAATACAATCATTAATAACATCCAATAATACCCATCCTTTCAACATGTTCTTTAAATATTTTGGGCGGCAGTCCTTTTGTTAAGGGATTTGCAATCATAAGTTTGATGCTAATGTGCTCAATTGACACTCTTCGTTTCTGAACTTCTTCTTTAACAGACAAGTATTTAATCTCCATATGTTTAGCACCCTTGGAGTACTTGTCGTTCTTAGAGAAGAAAACTGCT